CGCGGGCTGGTGCGCGTGCACGCGCGCCCGCTCCCGCCGCCGCCGCCGCCGCCGCCGGCGGACAGGGCGCCTCTGCGGCCGAGCGAGCGGCGCCGGCGTGAAGCGCTACGCGAGCAAAGCCGCCAGGGCCGCTCGGAGGCCGCCCGCCTGCCTGCCCGCCTCCCCCCCTCGGGCCCCCGCGCCGGCCGGTCTGCCCTGGTGCTGCATTCGCGCCAGCACTGAGCGCGCACAGGCGGACTGCGAGCCCCCGCCCCGCCAAAGGATGACACGGACAAAGCAAAAAGGGCGCAGAAAGCGTTTTGGTTTTTGGTTTACTATTGCTTGTGACAAAATATCATTTTATACAAACAAGTCAGGTAATTTACTGTAGGCCTAGGAAAGACGAGATAACGGAGCATGGCGACAGTTCCACTGGGGAAATCACACGTTTCTGAGATTTCTGCCATCCTCTACAGGAAAAATACCTTGACAGAAAAAAATAAAACAGGCTTTTTTTGGAATTTACAAACCACTCCAAGGGTTACAGGTGCTGCCAAAGACAACCAGTGAACAGAAAAACTAGTAAGGAACAGTTTCAGTGTCCAGTCAGAGCCACGAAGCCATGGTGGGGGCCATCTTCGGCACACTGCTGTGACTAGTGCCCCCCACCCCCAGCTCCCCTCTGTGGGTAAACAGACCCTGTAACACCAGTGCTCTTGCTGCACCAGCTAGCTGGGACCAGGCCGCAGAAGCCGCACAGGGAAACACTGGAGGGAGCCCCCACATTCCTGCTGGTGCTCGGCTGCTCACGTGACAGCGCCTGCCTCCATTATGCCTCATCGTCACTTTCGACGGGGCACTTTTAGGACTTCAGCCCTTGCCCATGGGTGCCAGCCACCCATGCGGGGACACCAAATGCTTTGCACAAAAGGCAGCAAAGGCATCACCGAACTGCCAGGCAGCTGCCGCTCCACGCACACTGCCAAAAGCCCCGCTGAGGTTCCTTGCTGTCGAGTGTCGCACGTGTGAGTCCCTGGTCTTCCGCAAGGAAGCAAAGTGAGTGTCCTGATACAAGGGCACCACACGGGAAGGCTGCTTTGGGCTTGTTTTTTAAAAAAATTCTGTAATGGGCTGAGGAAGAAGCACACACGGAAGAAAACAGCTCTAAAACAGGCCAGCAAGACCGGCACCTCGGTCCGTACGCACTCAGCTGGCCTAGTGCACCAACTACCACAGCAAAGTCCCTGCTCACCCGCACAAGCTGGGCAGGGAGCCCACAGTGGGAGCATCCTCCTTGGATACATGATTTGAGGGGTTCTTAACTGCTTGAACAGCCGGCCCATTTATGCAGGTTATTAGCTTCAATGCCTTTAGGTGGGAAATATCCTGGCCTCTGCTTTCTGTTAACCCTTTGGTCAGTGTGGCAGAAACAGATCCCTGCTCCGTCTGCATGCAGAAGCAGCTGGTCGCAGAGTGAGGATGACAGAAAGAGAGCCCTTCAAGGGAGAACACACACTTCCATTTCAGCCCTACGAACCCCACAGCTATGACGAGAACCTGGACCAAAGGCAGCAAAACACACACAGTACAGATTAGCCTGCCAATGCCAATGCCAGGCCATCTTCTAATGGGGGGGCAGACAGCTCCTAGAGACACAAAGCAGTCCAGGAAGCACCAAACTCCACATTTGGTCAAGTTATCTAGAATGGCAGGATATTTGCCCTGTTCCTCTCCTTCAAGGTTCCTCCTTCATCAACGTTTGGTCCAGGAGGGCGGAAGCAACTTGCAACATTTAGCACGGGAGCACCTCCACTTTCCCTGCCTCCTCACTAGGACTGCAGGCCACAAAGGATGCATGCAGCATCGTTCTTCCTCGGGGCAGCTGGGGGAGGGAGATTTCAGCTCTCCAAGATGGAGGGTGAAGTCCAGAGGCTGCAGAAAGCAGGAAGTGGCTGGGAGTTCACTGAAAGAGCAGTAGCTGCTTTGGCTTAGATCACACCTGTTCCAAACGGGTCCAATATTAACTTGTAAGAAGACAGACAAGACAGTCACATGGAGAATCCTGAGGAACAAGATGGAGGACATTTAAAAGGCACCTGGTGTTTAAACACAGTGACTCAGGAACTCCTGCCACCTCTTGTGGAATGAGGAAGGCTTATGGCTGCTCTTATGTGGCCTTGGATTCATGGAGAAAAGCCCCCTTTTGGGGGAAGCGGCAGACGGAGTGCAGCAAAACGGGTGTCATTGTTGTCCAGATGACAGGACCCAGCGCAGGAGCTGGGAGTGGTGCATGGACACCACTCCCACAGCATGGGTGCTTTCTTTGGAAGGACAAGGGCAGCACGATCCGGATCTTAAAAGCATACATACAAGTTATCTTCTGCCCTTTTCATTTTTTATTATATTCCCACTATTTGAGGACAGCCAGATGACCCTACCTGACAGATAACAATCAGAGTACATCTGGTCCTGTGCTTCCTTTCTCTGCCCTCTCCTGCCCTCTATTCTGTAAGCACCCCCCACACACACACACACACTGATTTAGTTATTGTGGTGAAATGCACACCCTCTCCCCAAACGGGCGAGCCTCAAGCGGCTACACAGGCTCTCCAGTCTGTGCGCACGGAAGCCGGGCCGCGCACACAGCCGCAGCTGCAAGAACCAGCAGCTGACCAGAAGGCCGGTGCCCGACTTTTTCGCTGATGTAGGAAACAGCAGCTTGGCCCTGGAGCAAGGCAGGGACAAAATCGGGCTGACGAGCACTGCTTTCCGACATCCCGCCGCGGGCAGAAGCAACAGGACAAGGCCTCTGTCCCCCGCATGATGGAATACGCCTTCCACCCCTCCCATCAGCTGTCTGTGCCTACAAGCGGGTGTTGCAGTAGGAGTCCCTGCAGTGCAACGGCAAAAAGGAGGGGTGTTCGGCACTTCAGTGCATTTGAACTGAGCCGACCGCTGGGGGAAGCACCGGCAAAGCCCAGGGCCCCGAGCTGGCAGAAGCCCCTCTTCGCAGCTCCCACCTCAGCCAAGTGAGCACTGAGGGATACTGGGGCCCAGCTTTAGTAGTGGCATTTGCTGAAGCACCAGTGCCAGCGATACAGGCTGGGTGAGGCCACCATTCCGGAGTTGCTCCACTCTCAACATATGCAGAAGAAAACCCTGGAAAGATCTGCCCTGCCTCTTGGTATGCGCAACAGGCAAATCCCCGTTACTCAGCAACCTCAACCCACCACATTTTCAACATCCCCCAAAGAAAGCGCAAACACGTTGTAAGGAACGGAGCACAGCCGAGTCTGAGGCCCTGCGGCAGCTGCGGCACTGGTTTCAGCCTCCCTGCAACGCCTGTCATGGAAGGTCCTCTTCCCTTCACGAGATCATGCGTTGCTCCACAGGGCAATTCACTGAGACGCAGCATCCAAGACCGTGCCCCTCATCTCAAACCTCCCCACCTTTCTTCAGGTTAGCTGTGAGGGCACGGTCACGAGACCCAATCGCGGCAAGACCGAACTGTGGAGGCTGCCAACACGAGTCACCGGCTCCCCCAGCCTCTGGGGCAGCTGCTACCTACATTTCACGTGGAAGAGGCAACGGCCTTGCGCTGCAGAACCCTGCTCACCGGTCCCTGGAGGACAGCGGAAGAGTGAGGGAAGGAAAAGACCACACAAGGGAGATGGGCCGAGGCTGCCAAACTACGAGAACTGCTACATCAGTAAATGTCTAATAGACTAGCGACCTGTTAACTGACCAGGGTACCAATGAACACCGAGTGGAGACCGAGGAAGGAACCATGCCGGAAAGGGCAGAATTGCAAGGAGAGCCCCTTTACTGTCATGCGAGTCGCCACCTCAGTCTCTGCCATGCTGTTTCTTGGGTTCTGCAGGAGGTTCCACAAGAGGCCTTTGAACGCGAAGCATCCGTTCTGCTCTCCTTCTTGCTACTAGGGACAACCAGCTGCAGGGCCACGTCCAATGGGTGCAGCACAGGGGGCTACTGCCCCCCATTGTAGGCGTAGTCAGCCTTATTGTGCATGATCAGCCTGTTGTCAACGAAGTAGAAACTGTCGGAGCGGGTCTCGTAGGGGTGCTCGACCATCAGGCGGACTGTGGGGCAGAGGAGAGGAAGGGGACAGTTTCAGCAGTGCAGCAGTTCACACCGGGAAGGATCGTGGCCCGTGCCCGGCTTGCTCAGCCCCGAGAAGGCAGCCAAGCCCCTTCCTCAAGAAACCACCCTCCCCTACTTGCCTCAGCTGCCCAGGCCAGCCTCCAGCGGGGGGCATCCCACGAAACACCCACGCAATCAGGCACCTGGGGCCACCCGCAGCACCACCTCCACGTGGAGCGGCGGTGCAGCTGCCTGAGCAACCTTGGAAAGGAGGGCTGGTGCTGCCTCCAAAGCACCCTATTTCTGTTCTGAGCCAGAAGCAGCAGGCCCAAGTCGGCGCCCACATCCTCCTGGGACCGCCTCGCTTTCTGTCACGATCAGAAGCAGCTCCAACCCTGCCTCAGCCACAGAGCTGCAGCTCCAGCACTCTTCCTCCGCTCCACGGTGCCAGGCTAGCTTTCCCCTCTCTGGTAAAGAAAGTGACTCTGAGCAGCAGCCTAGAAGAGTCCCAGTGAGTTCCAAGAGTAGAGGTGCACTAACAGACAAGCAACCTCCCCAGTTAACTCGGTCAGCCAGTTGCATCCCTCTCCAGAGACAATGCACTTTCTCTTAAGAGGCCAAATCCAATGCGGCCGAGGCACACACTCGTCGGTCTGCATCAAAGGGAAGACTGCCACGAGCAAGCTTGCTGCCGACCTGGGTTTTCCCACCGTTGCTACAGCTGGCCAGTGCTGCTTTGACATGGACATTCCACAAAACCTTGACCGCTCGAAGGGAAAGCCCCACTGGTACTTCCATAGCAAGTGCAAGCCAAAGCTTGCGAAGAGCCACTGGCCTTGCCCCGAGGCCGAGGAGGAGCTGGCTCTACAAAACGAAGGCCACCGGTCTGCCCTTCCTCGCAGGTCATGAGGTACTGCCAGTGACTACTGGAGGGGTCACCAGGTTCGACTGCTGGGGAAGACAACCGCTCACCTGCGAGTTACTTCCAGTGCACTGGGAACATGCGCAGCGGGAGTCACTGCACACATGTTCAACTCCCGGGCTTTCCATGGGTGCCTGAGTGGCTGCTACAGGAGCAGAACGCTTGGCCAGGTGGCCTTTGGTCTGCCCTGGGTGGCTTTTCTTAGCTGCAGCACAAGCAGCCTTCAAGGTGAGCGTCTTTCCCCGCGAGGCGACAAGCATGAAATTTAGTTCAAGCTTCCTCACCACATTCTTCAGCCAGCAAGGCTTCTAGTTGGTTATGCAAGGCCAGTAAAATAATAATAAACACAATAAAGACAACAGAGAACCTCTGCCGTTCTGAGACCGCCAATTCAAAGAAGTGGCAGGGATGACTTATGCTCCCAGGGTAGCGAGAGAACCCCTCCCTTGCGTTGCCAGAGCACTTCAGACTGTCCACACCACCTCCCACAGCACACGCACGCACGCGTGCACACTTCAGCCTGCACCCATGCACGCGTACATGTATCTGTCATCACCTTTCTGACAACTGTATTCCGGCCTACAGCATCTTTGTTAGCCACTTCGGCACAGGATTCTCGTCAACCAAGATATGGCTGGTAGGGAAACAAAACAGGGAGAGACCAGACTGGCTGCTTGCCTGTGAAGGGGTGCTTGGAGTGGCCACCTGGCCACCTGTGCCTTTGCCATCAGGCCTTGTCGCCTGCGCAGAGCCTTTCTTCAGGGAGCTTCTGCCGCTGGAAAACTCCTGGCAGGAACCTTCCCCACATGACAGCTGCAGTACTTCTCTCCGCGGTGCATTTCCAAAGACACAGGTAGGATCTAGTCACAGCTGAGTCACCCGTCTCTCTTCTGAATGGTCTCTGTGCCTCATGTCTTTGGACAATTAGCAAGCCGGCTCCCGGTGGCGGAAAGGGGTACTCGCGGAACCAAGCCCCGCTCCTCCGAAGGAGCAGCTCCAGCACAGCCATGCCACTGGTGGCGTTTGAGCAGTGCTGCCCGCGTCCGGCAGACGCCCACCCTGGGGAGGCCCACCCACATGGAAAGCAGTCGAGGGGGGTGGAGTGTGACACGTAATGGACCCAAAGCTCCGGGCTGGCCGACTGGATGGGGCGCTGGTCTGAGCAAGCCAGCACGCCAGTCCCTGAGAACGCAGAGCCTTCCGTGCCTGCCCCAGCACAACTTGCGGACCGGCCTACTTGGAGACCTACAGAAGGCAAGTGCCTGCCTGAAGCCATGGGCATGCAAAGTGAATTGCAGCAACATGGGTGGGGAAGAAGAGACGGGTGGTAATGTATTCTCTCAGTTAATCTGAACACTTGAAGCGACTTTGGCAGGAAAGAAGAATCAGATCAAAGCACCACCTTGCCCTTGTGAGAAACCGGGTACCGAAGGGCCACCCAAAGTGCACACAAGTCACTCGCGGGGCACGGAGACAAGACAACTGCCAGAGGAAGCACCTGGAAAGCTGCCTATAGCTGGCCGCTCAAACTGCGTTGCTATTAAGGCACGGAGAACGACCAGGGGCTGGGCTGCTGCAGCAGCGCGCCCGAGTCCCCTGAGCGTCTGTCGCGGGAAGGGCCGGCAGGGAGGAAGGTCTCATGCTGCGGCCACTGCCAAGTAAGGGGGAAGGGGAGTGGGCTTGGGTTCTCACGTGAAGATAGAAAGAAGGCAGAGAAGCACCTGCTTCAATCTGGACATGAGACAAGATCGAATCCAAAGAGTTGCAAACGATGAGAAGCGCTTCCATTCCCTTTCACAGGACAGTCTAGTAGCCAGTTTCTGTTCCCAACCACCAGAGGGGGAAGGCATTCCCAGAAGGATCCCAGCCACCCTGGCTGCAAAACTTGGGGCAACCTGCACCCAGTGGCAGTATGAAGAGATGGACTGATGGAACTCCCCACCCTAAGGAGAGGCAGGCCAGGGTGCCAGGGCGCATCGCCATGTGCGGGAAGTCTGTCCTGGGCAGCTCGGCTGCCCATCCCTGTGATGTGGACTGCAGTCAAAGAAGTATCCAAGGCTGAACACCAGGTGCATATCCTCACTGCCCACTGAGCCAATGAAACAGACTGTTCTGATCCACTACCTTGGCTAAGTAAAACACTACCAAGATGTCATATGTGACTATTTGCTATAAAAGTGCGCTCCCTGTTTTTCCTACTGCCAGCAATCTGAGGAAATTTATATGATTCTAGGACTCAAAACGGTTCTAGGTGCCCTGGAAGTTGCTCCCCACCTGCTGAGGGAAGGAAGCATCAGTAGTACAGATTGCAGCTGGATAATGTGTGGTGAAAGGCACTCCCTGCTGGGGACCGAGAATCAACACCCACCTGTTGAGGCTCAGTTTAACGGGCCCTGAAATACAAAGAATGGCGTCTCTGGAGTTGCTGAAAACCTGAAGTGCTGACGAGATCTCGTACGAAGCCTGGGGATGAGACAGCCGGTCGCCGTCGCCAGAAGCCCCAAGCGCTGTTGGCACTGAACAGCAGCGAGCACTGCTCTGCATTTTAGCTCCATGGCGAGCGTGATCAGCACAAAAGCCTCGGTGAGGCAGACGAGCCCTTCCTCTGGCGGACTCGGGGGCACTCCAACGTACTGGGAACACGGGAAGGGCGAGCAGATCTGTCCGTATGTGCACATGGACCCAGGCTGCGCAACAGCACGCGGGTTGGTGAAACTGAGTGAGGCCAGTTCAGGCTGTTGCAGCAGTGTGCAAGCACTGATCCAAATGTGGGCAGACTTGAGCCCCCTGCAGAGGAAGGTGGGCACAAACCCCCTCCATGCACCTGGTGAACACGTGGGGAGCAGCTGCCAACCAAATGGAGGGACCGAAAGTTGACAGGCGCTACCAGCAACCCTAAGATGGCAACAGTGCTGATGTGACTCCTCCACTGCAATATGACAACAGTCAGCTTTCAAATCTATGGAGGCAAATGCAGGAGTTCTTGTAAAGATGCAGGATTTCTGTTAATGCGGCCATGCCTATTTTTTGTGAGGAATGAGAGTCCCAAAGGAGATTGGCCCAAGTCCTCCATCCTTTTGAGGCACCATGAAATCACCCCGAGTTTGGCGAAACGAGGCCAACATTGTTGCTCCCTCTGTAGGGAGCAAATCCACTTCCAAATTCACCATGTGCAATGTCTGGTCATGTGGATCACTCCTAAAAGAGGAAGGACATCAGACTTGACCCTGTAGCTGCACTGGATGATGCTGAGGACATTATGGGTGTGGCAGAGCCCCAGTCAGGGAAAAGGGAAAGACAAGCTCCAAAGATGGGATTACTGGAAGGATGACCCAGAAGCAGGCAAAGGAGCCAACTGCTGGTGCTGGGCTTCTTCCAGCTGAAGCAGTACTGAGAACTGCGTCATGCTGTTTCTGTGTTGAAGGAGCCTGTTGGTGGCTAGCTGGACACAAGCTAGCAAGACAGTGGGGTGACAAGACCGTGTATGCTGCTTATGCAGAAGCTGCAAGGGATTCAAATCCATCTTCCTAGCCATTATCTTGGCCTTTTGAACTCCACTAGTTCCTTCTGTTAAACAGCCACAAAGGGACCATTTTGTCCCAAAAGGAAATGCTGCCAACACACCACCACTGCCTGATTAGAAACATGGCGCCCGAGCTCATTTGAAGATGGAGATGCAGAATCCCATCAATGACCTTCCTTATCCGCTGCTGCCAAAGGTGCCCTGAGTGACTTCCCTTGTGAAGACTCTCTGATAAAACTGGGTCAAGGGAGTTAAGAAAGGAAGCCCGCATCTTCTTTCTAGACTCTGCATATGTTCTCTGACCATTTTGCATGGATGATGGAGCTTCTCATGAGTGTTGCTTTATTTGTAACAGAACGAGCAAAAGGGGGTGAACAATCAGAACTGACAATCTCCTGAGAGTAAATGTCGGGAAGGGATCCAAGCACTGGAGGGGCATCCGGGAGATCTGGCTCCTCGGCCCCATGTGGCCACAAAGCTCCCTGAATGACCTTGGGCCAGTCAATGATTCTCAGCCTCACAGGTTTGTTGTGCAAATAAGACTGAGAGGAGGAAGGACAGGTAAGCTGCACTGAGTCCCTTAAAGGAAAACAGGAAGGATATAAGTATCATAAATAAAGAATCATACCAAAGACTAGGTTCTAAGCTCTTTCTGTTGCCTGCTGAATTCTGAGGCGTAGAAAGTGGGATACCCACAGTGCTTGGTCTGACAGATGACCAAAGTCTTCAGAGAGGGACACCTAGAGCTGTTCCTGATCAGCCCAGCAGAGGAAAGCGGCGGCTCCAAGGCATCCTCTTCAGCTCCAGAGAACAGGGAGGCAGCCTGTCTACTGCTCCTGCCCACGGGCCTGTGAGGCCAGAGAGGAGAGCCTAGAAGGGAGAGGCGCTCCAAGCACCGACCCTTGCCGCCACCCATGCAGCAGGGGCTAGAATCGCTGTGGCAGCTGCAGCCCTGGGTGAGGTGGTAGAAGAGGAAGGCTGGGCGGGCTCTGAGGAGACTCGCTGGGAGCTCCGAGGCCCTCGCTGTGCCAGCGCCAAGGGGAAGCTAAGCTGTTATCAGAGCTGTAGCAACAGCCTTGCTCCTATGCAAGTTTCCAGCCGACACAGTAGCAGTGATGGCTAGCTGGAACAGACCAATGAAGACGTCTGTCTCACTCCGACACTGTTCTCCCAGGAACAGTCCCCGTGCAGAGATGGTCTGTTTGCCACGCTGATCTGATGGGGCGCAGGAATGGGAGGTGCTGAAGTAGTAAGGGAACCTGGCTGAGGCCACACAGTGGAGCAGCATCGCGTGCCTCGCCCTCTGGCACAGACTCTGCAGAAACCTCCGTCAACGGGCCCAGGCGTGAGGGCGTTGAGCTGGAGAGGCACAGCCCTGGGCACACTTCTCGTGCTTCTGTGCCTTCTCCAGTGTTTTGGCCTTTCTACTCCGCTTCCTTGCCGCAGAAATTGTCAGTGGCCGTCCAGGCGCAGGCAGACAGCGCAGCCCCAGCTAGAGCCTCCAGGGGCAATGCCAGCCCAATGGAAGGCCCAGGCAAGGGAGCGGCAGAGGAGGCAGGAGGGTGGGTGCGACGGGCTGCTGAGAGCCACAGCTTTGGGGCCTCCTCCACTAGTCTGCCTGCAGGCAGTCTGCCCTAATTCTGCAGGCTGGCTCAGCAAACACCCGGCACTTTGGGCAGGCAGCAATGACTTGTCTTGCCTCAGCCAGAAAATGCGAGAAGTCTGCCTGCTGGCAGGAGCTGCTCCCACACGGTACAGTTCGTGAAATGGCACCTTAAATGGCAACAAAAAGGATCGGACAATCTCCCAAATACAGGAACCAAATCTAAACCAGCAAAATAACCTGGAAATAACTGAGCAAGTCTTAGCTCCAAGAAAAATAATGCATCAAAAGACAGAAAGAACTCCCATGAGGCAGCCAAAATGGTGAACAAAAAGGAACTGAAAGAATGGGAAGGTTTCCACCAAAAAACCCCTCAGTTACAGAAGCTTCCCAAAACTACATTTTGGGCAGACGCACAGCTGCTGTGCGTGATACAGAGACCACAAAGAAGAACTTTTCTGGATGTTTTTCAAAGACTGTTCGAACCCTCAAACATTTGAATGAGTTTGCCTACATTTACTGATACGAGCCATTTATGTCTCCAGGAAAGCTCAGTTGTACTTTGCGCCAGTCTGGACACAAACCCAAGCACTGGAGATGAGTGGCTCCTTACAAGCATGGAATATCTACAGTGTCAGGCATTCTGGTCATTTATTTATTGGGACTCATTCTAGCAGCTTCCCTTATGTAATTATTTGTTTAAGTTTTAGATACAGCAAGTTATGTCTTCCTTTTATCTGCAAAGTAACTGAACCCTACAGACAGTGAACGGATAATGAATGGAAAAAATATCTCAGAGACCACAGACAACCTGCTGATTTTAACACCATAAATATGCAACAGAACCAGAAAATCAACCAGTCCTATGACCTTAACCAGATTAAAATCCCCACAGGAAAAATTGAAATCAAAATTGAATTCAAAATCCTGTAAGGTTACCAACCACAAAAACTGGAGACAGCACTTCCCCACTTCCAGTGATATGCTGGTGATGACTGAATGCTCATGACGGGCTTACGACACTCCCGGCCCCTGATGGAGGGCCGGACTCCATGGGCCTTGGCCTGGGCCATCCCCAGCCTCCACAGCACGAGAACATACTTACTGAGGTCCTCGGACAGCTGGGGGAACTCATAGATGTGCTCACAGGTGTTCCTGCTGCTGGGGATGCAGAAGCCAAAATCAAAATCAAAGTTCTTGAGAAGGCGGTCTCTGAAGTAGTGCCTCTCAATCATACGGAAGTTCGAAACAGGCTTGTCTCCCACCGTGAACTCCACGCTGTAACCAGCAGGCAGAGGAACACCCAGTTAGGCAGTCAGATCAGAAGCTGGCTACACAAAACAATGCAGGCAGGTGACCCGGGAGGTGTGGCGACGCAGCCCTAGGTGCAACACCTGTGCTGGACACGGGAACAGCCATAGTTCCGGAATCCTGCAGGAGCACGAACAGCTGCATACCGGCACGGCCCAGCTTCCAGCTTCCATTCTGATGAAAGCAGTAAGTTCAAAGGGCCAATTCTTATAATTATCGAGATGAGAATTCCCACATTATTTTCCTTCTCCTCACCCAAACAGCAGCATAATTTTGCAAAAGAATAAAAGTGGCAGACGTATTGCAGGTAAGAGGAGGCAGGTATATCTACCTGTAAAGGCACAGCAGACATCTGGCTCCGGCCACAGCTCACATCGCCACCTTCTCTAATATATTATTTTGGGCTGCTGAACCTTCCCCAGACCAGCTCAGAATCCCCCGCCTACAGTCACTTGGCTGGTCGTGACCACCATCCCACCAGCGGCTACTCACGTCGCACCAACTGTCCGGAGGCGCAGAAAGGCAGGTGTGAACTGGTAGCGGACAAAGCGCCCTGCACTGGTGTCCACCTCCCCAATGTCACCATCCTCCTCCTCTTGCTCTGAAAGAAATGACAGTGAACAATCGGGAGATTGTGGCCTAGTTTGTACGTAATGACAGCCCAAGGGTTCATCCATGATTTGCTTGATAGGTGGCAATGGAAAATGCAATGGAAAATTCCTCCCTCCTTCCATCCCAAAGGCCTTTGTGACAGCAAAGTACTGGCCACATTTTTTTTACCACTCATCTGCCACCTCCATAGCCTGGCAAAACCACCCATTCACAAGCCACAGTTCTGGGTCAGCATGTAATGACAGCTCATAATCAAAACAACCAAGAGTTTCAATCTAACAAAAATCCATGGTTTCTCTCCCTGGGATACTCATGGTTATCTCAGTTTGTGTGTAACAGCAATGCACATGCAATCCACATTCTGTGTTGTGGTTACGTGTGAGCTAAGTCTGCATATGCACAACTGTGACTTCTCTCCAGCCTACTGGCACTCCACCTTTCCTACTCACAAGCACAGCTTCAGTATAGCCAGATTTAGCTTAACTGGAGCAAACTACAAGGCAGGTACAGGAATAGTTTGTTTGCTTTTCTTTTGGTACAAACTGTGCAGGGAAAACAATGTCATTTTAAAAGCAGAGACAACTCCAACACAAGGCAGAGGTGACAGATCCTTTCACTGAGAAGCCCTTAAGGGCACCAAGAAAGATAGATCTGAGTTACAAAGCGCAATGCAATATACCAAGATGTTCTGTTCATGTGTTGAGCAGGATCTAGGCAAAAGAAGGAGATGCATCAGGAAAATAAACATATACAACCCTCCACTGCCAACTGCTTGGAGTCAGAAGGAATACACATACATAAAGCAAATCAGGAAAGTACAATGGTCATAACAAAAAGGTGTTTGAATTGATATAAGGTATGGAAAGATGAGAACAGGCAACATTTGCAGAACACTGATAGCAGATTAAAACTGCAACCTGAGGAGCTCCCTGAAAAACTATGAAAGAAATGAGGATGACCCCTAACCCTGAAAAATGCAAGAGCTGAAGCACACATGCTTCTCAAGAGTGTTTTAGGAACCTAAGACTAAACACTGGAATACCTAATATGCTGATCCATGGCAATTCATCTCTGGCATTACATGAGATCCCAGAATTCCTTATCAGGGCAGCATAGAAAGGATTGGTCTATAGCAGGCAGGGAGAGACTAGCCCTCAAAAACGAAAGGTCAACTTCTGCATTTGTAATATATTGTATAAAAGAACTTATTTAAGTTTTTTTAATTTCCATTCAGCACTGAAAATTTGGGGCTTACCTCCTTTAAAATATAGGGCAGCAGAGGATTGGATTTTGGGAAGCCAGAGAAATGTAAAGGCAACTACTATACAGAAAAAGGAGAAATAGTGGAAATAGTTCCACTCTGGTCTCTCTTCAGATTTTCAGAAGAAACTAGCTATGTATTTGTTGATATAATCAGATTTTAGGTTAGGAAGAAACTATCCAACTGTGCCATTGGAAGCACAGCATGGTGCCAGGAGTTTCTAGACACAAGTTTGATCCTAGGTCTTCTGGAAAACACCTCCCCCCCCCCCCCCCCCACTTACTTCAAGGCTAATTTACCTAAAGCTGAAGGTTTGGCAATTTCAAACAGAACTGTCCCAGTCTCTAGATCCCGAATCTTGAATTTGGTGAAATCAATATTATAGATGTTGTCCTCAGGTCGGCACAGATAATCTAGGAAAGAGAGAGAGAGAGAAATGTAGAACTAGTATTGAGAAGCTCTGCAAGAAAAGTTAGCATTCAGGAGACAATGCAGAAGATGTGAGCTGAAAGGATCTCCAGTTTGAGGGGTGGGAAGAGCTCTTTCTGCCTACCTGAGGAGTCACTATGGGGCTAGATGAAGTGAGGATCTGCCTTGGCATAAAGCAACTATTCGACATACCAACCACATTTTGCAAAACTGAGAAAACAGCAGAGATTGCTGCTATCCAATACAGAGAAGAGGTCTGCTACCCTGAGTAAATAAGCCATCAGCCCTTGCATAGGCTCTCCGAAGGAAAAGTCTCTCCAAGCGTGCAGGGATGCTCCTGGGGTGCATGAGATGCACTGCTGCCCAACCTGGTGCCCTCCAGCCGCGCCGGTCACAAGCTCCCGGTGCAAGTGACCCGGGAAGGCGGCCCAAAAAGGCCCCCGCAATCAAGGGCGCCCAACGCGCAGAGCACGCCGAAGCTGCGATGCTTCAGGCCCCGGGTCTTGGCTGCGCCAGGTCAGTCCGGGCACGGACGGGATGCCCACAGAATAAGGGAGGCCCGCCCCGGGCGGGGCCGACAACACCGACACGCGGGATCTCCGCTCCACGGGTGGGAGCCTCGGGCCAGCTTAAAGAGGAAGCCCCCGCCCGGGCGGCGCGTCAGCTCGACGGGGCACACGTGGGCCGGGCGGCCGGCGGGCGCGGACGGGGCCGCCTCCGGCGCGAAAGCGGCGCGCTGAGCCGGGGCGCGCCCAAGATGCGCTGGACGGGGCGGCCAGGCCTCCACTCACTCTCCGTGACGCGGCTGAGCCCCAGGACGTGCTCGGGCCGCACCGCCTCCAGCGCCAGCAGCTCGGCCTCCGTCCGGGGCTGAACGGCCCGCAGCGGAGCCACGACCGCAGGCGACGCGTCGCCGGAGCCCCTCCGCCCGCGCAAGCGGCTCAGCGCTCCGCCCGCCCCCGCGGGCGCCACCCTCGGCTTCGAGCCGCTCATCGCCGCGCCAAGACGGGCCGGGCCGGGCCGCGCCGCCTCCGCCAAGATGGCCGCCGCCCGCCGCCGCCGGTAGCTATGGGAGCGAGCGAGCGAGCGAGGGGCGGGTCCCAAGCTGCCGCCATGACGGGCTTCCAGGGGCGGGACACGTTGCCGGGCAACTGCGCCCAACGCCGCGCACGCGTCCAGCGCGCTCGGCCGGTGGTGGGAAGCTAAGCAAGTTCGGCCTTGGACCTGCTTCTGGAAGGGAGTCCCGGAAGCGGTTGTCACCGTGCAGCAGGCGAGCGAAGAGCGGGGCGGGCAGGTGTACGGTCTTGCCAAACGCCGGAGGCCCCTTCCAAACATGCTGGATTGCCCTCTCTCCCCGGGGGCCGAGCGTCCCCCGGGAAGGGTGCAGAGAAGATGGCCCCAAGGGCTGTCCGGCTGGGTAAGATGGCCATGGCAGGGGAACCCCTTCTCTGATATATATTCCGCCTTTTCCTTTCAAAGAACTCGCAGCATTCTGCTCCTGCTGCTCCGTCTTCTCCCACAACAGCAGCCCTGCGATGTAGGTTGGGCTGCGAGGCTCTGCTTGGCCCAGTCACCCACTTGGCTCCGCGGCTGAGCGGGACCAGGACCCGGGGCGCCCGCCCTGCTTTGGTGCCTGGGCCCATCGGCCCGGCCGCGCCGGCGCTCCGCCGGGCGCACGCGGGCGGGCGAGCGAGCGGGCGGGCGGGGCTGTGCGCGGAACCCCCCGCCTCGAGGTCGGCGCTCGCTCCCGGCCGCGCTGCCCGCTTCAGCAAGGAGCGCATCGGGGCGGCCGCGCATTTCCGCGCGGCAGGCGCCCCTCGGGAGACCTAGCGGACGCGGAAGGCTCTCCGGGGCGAGGAGCCGGCGCCCTCGGTCGCTGCGCAGGGCGGCGTGGTCGCGCCCGAGCCCGCAGAGCTGGGAAAGGCGCCGCTCCTCCCGCGCCGCTCGAGCGTTGCTGACCATGAAAGATTCTAGCAGGGCAAACTGTCAGCGGGTCGCTCCAAGTAGCTCAAGCTGTAAGCAAAAGAATGGGACCCACTCCAAGGAGGGCGGAGGGTTGTTTCCTTCTTCCTTCCCCACCGGTATTTTTACATGGACATTTTGCTCAACTCTCAAGTCAGGGTCCAGAAGGGGAAGGCTGCTGTTCATCGCTGATACTCCGCTGTACAACCGCCCAAACAAACCTTTAATAATGGGAGGACAGCAGCAGACCCATCTGTCCGCCATTGCCAGCTTTCTTCAAGCCTGAGGTCTGTCTTATTCCAGTCTTTGCAGCCCCAGTTGGGACTTACCTTTAGTCTTAATGGGGATGCCCACCCGCATGTTTTAAAAATCTCTTTTCTTGCTTCCCTGAAAGAATATTAAGATGCTGGGACACCCACCCTAAGTTGCAGGCATACACATTGGGGGGGGGGGCCAGACTGGAAAGGCCCGTGGACCACCTGGGTGCATGCGGGTCAGCTCACATGATAGCAGGTGCTGAGCTGCTGGAGCAGGCTTGGCCTCGGGCACCAGGCAGGAAAGGCGAGGTCTGTAGCCTGCGCTCAGGGCAGCTTGTCAGCAGCCTGGCCAAGGCAAAGGCCTGACCCTTCTGTGCCTGCTCTACATCCAGAGGAGGATCAGGCCCAGGCACACCCACACAGGACTCACACAGGTGGGGAGCAGGTGCTCCTCCCTCAACAGCTCAGGCAAGAGCGGCGTCTGCCGGGGCTTGCTAAACACTCCCCACAAACCAGTGCCATTTCTCCAAAAATGTTGTTTCATCCACTGAGATAGGTCTTCTTTCAGGATGGAGGACGAGACCCCAAAACCAGCAGAAGGTTGTCAGTTCGGCTCTTGCTGGCAGTAATGCAGGGCTGGGTGAAGCATTTCGGCCTTTGATAGTGGGGTGCACAGCAGCCAGGACACTGCCTGATGAACAACGGTGGGGCCTGGGCCTGCGACTCCCCTGCCCGTGCCAGGCGATGGGGACACAGGGAGGCAGCCTCACGCAAACCTATCACTTTCCCCCAGAGTGCCCGAACTCCCAGTTTGTCCACTCGGTCTTCCCTATTGGTTAGAACCAGGTCCAGGAAAGCTGTTCCTCTAGTGTCTCCCTCTACTTTTTTGTAGGGTAAGGTTAATCAACACATTAGGAATTTCTTGGAGGGGCTGTATTTGGCCAAATTTGTCTCACAACAGGTAGCAGGGAAATTGAAGTCCCCCCCTAATGACATGATGCCTCATTGGCAATTTGTGTTTCAAAACTTTAATCATCATCTTGACTGGGTGGTTGGCAATAGACTCCAACCACTGTGTTCATTTCTTCGTGCTCCATTAATCCAGGTGATCTTGATGGGACCACTAAGCCCATCCTCCTGTATTTCAAGGTCATGCCGTTTGTTTCTCATTCTCTGGGCATTACTGTTCACACTGAAGACCATGTGCTTTATACTCTAGCTTTCTTCCTACATTTTTGGAAGACTTACTGGGCAGTGTTAGAGCTCTTCTCTCTGTTGTGGTGCACACACTTTTGCCTGTGGTTACACCCAAGTGTACTTCTCCCTCTCTGGCAGGACTCAGTTTAAGGCCCTCCTGATAAATCCGTCATGCTGTGGCCAAGCGCCTCCTTCCCAGTCCTTGCAAGGGGCAACCATCCCTTGGCAGCAGCCTGTCCTTCAGGAAGTGTAGCACGCGGTCCCAGAATCCAGATCTCTTGTGTCAACACTACCTTCATTGCCGGGCATTCTGCTGGAGCATTTTTCTTTCCTTGTTTATTCCTCTTTCAAGACTTGGAAAGATGGAAGGGAAAACTATCTGGGCTCCAAAGTTCTTGACTTTCCTCCCCAGGGCTTCAAAGTCTTCAGAGTCAAGAGGCAGAAATCCTTAAAAATGCTTGGCGATTCCTCAAATAGCCACAATAACAGAAGCTCAGGTAGAGTATATAGCACAGATTAGGAAAGACAGCACCAAGTCCAAGAGGTCACCAGCGTGGTTAACAAGCATGGTAAAGGAAGCCATTAGAGAAGAGAAGGCTTCCTTCAGAAAATGCAGTTCTTGCCCCAAATGAGGAAAACAAACGGCAGCACAAGCGTGCAGGAGCGAAGCGCAAGCAAGCCCTAAGAGAGGCAAAAATTTAAAAAATGAAGAGTATTCTTCTAAAAACATTGAGCCAGCAATTTTTAAAATCTTTAAATATTTTAGAAGCAAAAAACCAGCGGAAGAGGCAGCTGTCTGCTGGATAATAATGCGTTAAAGGATTACTAAAGGAGGATAAGGGGAGTACAGAGGCTGAATGAATTCTTTTCCTCTGCTTTCACTGCAAAAAATACAAGGCGGATTTCTGTGCCTGAGTGGATTTTTTCGGGAACAGAGCTGGAGCAACTATGGTAAACCATGGTGACAGAAGATGAAGTTCTTGGCCTTATTAACAAAGAAAGTTTGGGTCCAGATGGTACCCATACTAGAGTCATTAAAGAACTCAACAGAAGGACAAACCATGTGGAAAAAGATTTGGAGTTATTTGAGAATGATCCGGTGCGCCTTGTTTACCTGGACTTCCAGAAGGCTTTTGGCAGAGCCCTTCACCAAAGACTCTTAAGCAAACTTGCTCTTGAGCCATGGAATAGGAAGTCCTCTTAGGAATCAGTAACTGGATCAGAACAGAAACCTGAGGAGTAAATGGTAAATTCCCTCAATGTGGGGATGCAAAGAATGGGGCCTGCACTGGGATCAGCTGCTTTTCAACTTTGGACCTGGAATTAGGAGCGAATTGGCTAAATGCATTAATGATACCAAATTACTTAGGGTAACTAAAACCAAAAGAGATTATGAGGAGCTCCCAAGAAGCCTTTTCAAACTGGAAAAAAGAGAGCCAGTGTGGTGCAGTGGTTAAGAGCATGAGACTGGGACTCAGACGACCTAGGTTCGAGTCCCCGCTCGGCCATGGAGCCAACTGGGTGACTTTGGGCCAGTCACAGACTCTCAGCCCAACCTACCTCACAGGGTTGTTGTTGTGGGGATAAGATGGAGGAGGAGAGATGATGCAAGCTGCCTTGAGCCCTTTGTAGGAAAAAGGCAGGATATAAATCCAAAAAAAAAAAAAAAAGGGTGTCAGTACAGCACATTTGGTTCAGAGAAAGCAAGGGTAAAGTATGCATGTTTGGCGAAACCCTCCAGCTTCGTGGATGAGCTGGCAGGACCTGAGCTAGTGGTGACCAATTCAGAAATCGCTCCTGGGATTGTGGTTGACGGCACGGTGAAGATGCTCTCCAAGTATGCAGGTGCTGAGAAAAAGGCAACCTTCTTGTCAGGCTTGATTAGGAAAGGTATTGAAAATAAAACTGCCAAGATCAAACTGTTCTGCAATTCATTCGGTGTGACTGCTCTTGGACTTGGTCTTCATTTCTGGTCATTGCACTTAAAGGATATCACAGAACTAGAAAAAAGTGCAGAGAAGGGCAACTAAAATGATCAAGGGGCTGAAGCAGCTCCCCTATGAAAAAAGGCTGAGATTGTCCACTTAGGGAAAAAAAGCAAGGGGAGACATAGCTGAGGTGTACGACATGGTGGCAGAAGCGGGCAGTGAAACTTCTCTCTCCTTCCTTGCACGAGAACTCAGGCAGGTCATCCCAGGAAGCAGACTGCTGGGAGGTTCTGGACAGGTAAAAGGAAGGGCTCCTTCACACAGCACAGAATTAAGTGGTGGAATTCCCTTGTGTGAGCTGTCCTGACAGCCCCCAACTGGGGCAGCTTTAAACAGGCTACTGGACAAATTCATGAAGGAGGCGGCTATCGCTGTCTTCTAGCGAGAAGGCTACGAGGGGAAGCAGTGAGCCTTCGCACACTGGTTGTGGGGGACCTGGGCGGGAGGAACTTGTGGGGAGCAGGTGGGCTGCTGCGTCAAGAGCGTGGTGGGCTGCACCCAGCAGTGCTCTCTTGATGCTTTTATGTCAAGAAGCCCAAAGGCCATTTAGAACCTCTTTCTCCAAGTCTCCAAGTGCAGTGAGAGAAGTCAGATTTTAAAATGCCAGACCTCTTTGATATGAATAGGGATGCATAGCAAAGCAGGTTTCAGCCAAGAGCCAAGAACACGGTTGCCTGGATGCTGCAAGAATTCCTGCAGAGACGAGGTTTCAGATGAAATCTCTTTGGCAGCCAATGCGTACAAGAGCAGCTGTGGTGCTTTTGGGGCCCCCAGTTCCATGCAGCCCAACCCTTTAAACATATTCCAACAGAGAAGAAACCCCAACTTTCTTCCCCCTAAAGAAAGCACCAGTTCATATGAATGACAATATAATTTCTTTTTATTTGAACACACTGCTGGTTAAAACTGCCAAGCAGTACAGTTTAGAATATCTCCCTCAACCAGACATCCTGGGAGAAAAAAGCCAACACAAATAAAAACAAAACAAAAACAGCTAAATGTACCAAAAATTGGAGGGGGGAAGGAAAGAGAAATTGACCCAGAACATCTCACCCATAAACCATTAAAGCAACCTTTTCACAAAGCCAGCGCAGTCTGTGCTTTTTATTCTTTGCCCAAGCTTGATACTAAACACACACACCCGTAAGAAAAAAATCACTGCAAATTATTAAAGACAAAAAGCAAAGGACAATTAAGGACATGATGCTCCTTCAAAACCTTGTGTTAAATGTGAAGTTACAGATAATGAAAATCAACTCCACCCAGCCTAGGCATGTGACCTTGAAGGTTACATCTGGGTGGTCCGAAAAGCCCAAGCAATCAACTTTCCAAAAGCCTATGGATGCCTTATTAGCAAGCAGGGGCATGAAGCCAAACGTGGGTCCACATCTGATGCCAACAGCCAGCAGAGCAAACGGGGATCAGTTAACTGATAACTGGACCTGCAAGAGCCCCACTGTTAATGGTCTCCTTACAAACCTGGAGCACATGGGTCAACATTGGTGCATTCTTGTTTAGGAAGTGAGGTAAAATAAAGATCTGACCATCCCCTGGAGTAATGTCAACATCTTTCAACAAGGCACTCCCTAAAGGCACCCCAAGAATCACTTCTCACAGACGCAGCACCCAAAAAGTTACTTCTCTGTCCAAGGAAGTAACATGAGGACAACTAGTCCTGGGTCCAAGAACAATGCAGACGCAGAGAACCTTAGTCCCCAGGCCCCAACAGAGTCCTGTCAAAGTGGTTTCATTCTTCTCAGATACAATCATGGGTGAGGGCTCTGGCACCAGGACAGGCTCAACACCCTGAACAAGACCTGGAGGCGGCCTGCATCTCCTCCACCAGCAGGTCCAGCTGACCCACAGGCACCCGCTGCTTCTGGCTTCCCCCATCCACGATCCCCAGCCATGCCTTCTTCAGCCACTAAGTATTCTATATAAGGGGGGAAATGTGGTGGAGACTAGTGTCATGGGCTTCAAGGAATGGGCAGCCTGGCCCACATGTCCTTGGAGGGGGGATCCAAGGGTTGGCCTAACACACTGGGGCTGAAATTTCCAGTTTTTCCATACCGATTGTGACCGCTTGTCCCTGCAAGAGCGGACTGTGAAGTGCTGGCCTCGTGAAATCTCTTTCACTGGAAAAAATACAAACACATCTCCTCTTCCTCAAGCACTCTTTACAAAATAGAAGCATCTTTGGAAGAGTGGACAGTATTCAAGTCTGTGAAAAATAAAGTATTTACTAGCTGGAGATGAGTGAAAAAAAAAGAAAAGGATGGATGGAGGGCATCCTATCGATATTGGCCAAGGATCTCTGCTGGCCAGTTAAGGTATATGCAGCCCCCATGAAGGTTCTCTCCATGACCACGACTCTCCCATCCAGCTGAGTCGGCCAGAGCTGGGAGAGGCAGCGAGCGCGCGCGCATCTCACTCACCCACCTGCACGCAGTCATGGTGGGTGGCCACTTGCTAAACCACCTGCAGCATGCCTAACAGGTAACTGGACTTGCCGAAGGGGAGACGTCCCGCCTTGGTCTTCCAGCTGGCTACGACATGGATCCCAGTGCCAAGCAGCAGCACCTGCCTCGTCTCCCCAACCCGTCCCTCTTTACACACTGTGCCTTTTTTTGTCAGAGCCTCAAAAAGCCCAAATTTTTAAAAATCAGTCTCTGAAAATTGCAAAGCTGTGCTCATAATTTCTAAAAATGTCATTTTGCACACTTGCGCTTTTCTGGCTTTCCAAATGTGTGGTCCGAGTCAAGTTCCTTGTTTCAGCTACCAAAGGCGTGTTCAAGTGTAGCAGGTTAACAAATGAACCACTGAGACTGCAGGCAGGCGAACTGCAGTCGCAAGGGACCGAATTTCAACTTGCCAATTGAAAACTGTCAAAAAGGGAGGGAAAGTGGCAAAAGGTGGCGAGAAGAGTAATATTGCACATTTACCAATGTCATCCTCTTGATTTTAATTGAACTGACAGTTCTCCATTCCTTTTTGAACTTTCCTGAAATCTACAGCAGCTCCAAAACGGGGAGAGAGCACTCCCCTCTTGCCTCCTCTTCAGTTTTTTAGCGCACTTGCAGTCATGGTCATCTGACAGTTCTGAACCACTGGCGGAAAGAGACACAAACTGAATGGCTGGGAAGGAAACTGAGCAAGCAACAGAGGAGTTAATGCAGACATAAAATCCCCGTCCTTTACTTCCAGGCATTAAATCTGAGTACACTTCTGCAGTTAAAAAGAAAAAGCCTATAAGGAAGCTTTTGTGAAAGGTTGGGGAGTTTTTATTTCCTTTTTCTGGAGTAGCTGGAGATGATGGGTAAAGGTGGGGGGATCTGGAAACGGCTGGTTTAACACTTAAACTGGAGAGGACTCAATTGCCGAGGAGGAGCCCCTGTGCTGCCCCTTTAGGACAGCTGCTGCAGCCGTCTGGTGCTTCTGCTCAGACTCTCAAGTCTCTCCTTGCTTACTCCTCCCTCAGCCCTTTGCAGCCATATACAAATTCGCTGCTGGACTCTCACCAGACAGCTGCAAGTGAGCCCTCATGAAGGGCAACACAACAACACAATTGTAACTCCAACTGTGCATTTTTAGGCACCATTTTTTAAAGCCGGGGCAAGTGCTGCTCCCGCGTCAGCGAAAGGGCAGTCATTGGCAAGACTGCAAAAGGCAAATGGCACGGGCGGCTCTCCAGCCATTCTCAGCAGCCTATGATAAACTGCCCTGCCAGTTCGGGTGGCACAACAGGCCACGGTGAGCGCGAGCCACCCTAGGCAGGTCACGGCTTCTCGGGGTGGCCTGCCTGCAAATATGCCACCCTCCAGAAGCCTGGGTGGAATGGCACAGCACCGCCAGCGCCTGTGGGGCAAGCGAGGCCGCGGAGGACAGCAACCGCCACCAGGGCCGCGCCACAGACACCTGGTGTGGCCGTCGATGGCTGCGAGCTTCGGGGGCTCGTAGGCACGCTCCCTTTTCCTCACATGCCAAGATCAGCAAACAGGAGGTGCAACACAATAGCCTATTTACTCAAACTTCCTCCTTTTTTCCCAGTAGGAAAGAAAAGAAAGCTCACAGGTTTCAGTGCTATTTTGGCTTTACAAGTGTGCACTGAGTGCAGAGTTACTGAAGAAGAAACTGGCGTTTCGATCTGCATCCAGTCCTGCCGGGCCTTGGGAGAGCCTTGGCTCGGTGCTCCACTGCTGCTGAACGTCCCCCCGCAGGCAGCTCTGGCTCCCCAGCCAGGCTCAGCAGCAGCCAGCCAGATGCGCAGCCTTCCCTCCCTCTCTCTAACACCTTGGCCGGGCCGCCTGCTCCAGCAGCTTCCTTGCTGGTTTGCTGGAGCCCTGGGCTCCTGGCGCACTCACAGGGGGCTCTCCGTCAGGGCGACTTACCGCAGCCTCGCACGGCACGGCAGCGACATGCTCAGTGACGTTCTGCAAGCGGCTGTCAAGGGACGTGCAGCCTCTCCAGCGGGCCTGAGACCAAGGGCTGTCCGTCCCGGCAGGACCCCAGCAAACGGGGGGTGTGCTGCTGGCCGATCCTTGCCTCCTGGCAAAGCAGAACCCCCAGCATGGTGCTGGAACAACTCAGCGCCCCACCTGTGGGTGAGGGCTGCCTCCCTGGATGGCACTTCAGGTTCCTTCACACAGGACTTGAGCAAATTAGTCGGCCCATATGAGCGGAAGAGCATTTCCATCCCACAGCTCTAGCCTAGCTCTATTTGATGGAAGGCAAGCTGGCAGGGGTCTCTTCTGGGTCTCCCCCCCCCCCGACTATGCAGGAATGGAAGCCCGCCCACCATGCTGAAGTGGCTTTAGGCGTATAAATCTCAGCACGTGACGTGCACTGCTGGCAGATGGGGAGAAGGTTTGGTTCAAAGGAAACTGCTTTCCCACCCACTCCTCACTGCTTAGAAGAGGAAAGAGAAGTTCCTTAAAACAGAAGCTTCTTTACAAGCAAATCCTACCTGAAAATTTAAGAAGGCACAGCACATGCATTCAGATTAGATTCCAGCATTCCTCTACTTCCCTCCTGCACTGCGCCCCTGGAACGAGGGCACTCGCTGCTCTCGCATGCACACAAATGCTAGAGCGGGGGGACGATGGCAGCCGAATTCAGAGACGGCAAGGGAGAGCCGCTCCCTCTGTGCTTGAGCTGGGCTGCGAGCAGGGACAGTCCTCCACCTTTCCTTCTCCCACGGGACTACAGTGGACGGTCACGGAGAAAGCAAGCCGCAGGCTCCCCACTGACCCACCAAGCAGCGGATGGCTCAGCCTTCTTGCCGATTTCAGAGGGTGGGAGAGTTTTTCAAGCACTCAGTACCATTAGTGACATATGATGACTTTTTGACAACTGGCAATAGTGAAGGGGAGGAAGGGAGAAGAACTCCACTGCCCCCTTTCCTCAGGGGACACAATTCTCTCACAACACGGCCTGTGAGAGGAGAGCACACGCTTGACCTGCCCACAATGCCAAAGCTAGAGCAATCGGCCTTTTCTCCTTCAGGGATTAACAACTCTCTGGAATGGGGCAGATGGGGCCCCAGACTCATTCAGGGAGGCAATCAGTAGCCACCCAGCTCTTCCAAGCGAGCCAGACGGGGAGGCAGGCCATTGCGCCAGCACGTCCACCTGCCAGCTTCTTCTCGTGGAGGCACTGTAGCCCTTCTTTGCCTATGCACCTTCCCTCTGCTTCAGGCCTCCAAGGAAGTAAGATTCTCGAGGAGGAAAACAGACTTTGTGCCACAAGCTAGCTGACCTGTTTATTTACCAACTCCAAGACAAGCAGCTCCACAAAGATTTTCATCAAGCTAAAGGCAGCCCCCAGTGCCAACCATCGCATACCCGAGCACATGTGCCACCAGCTGCCAGGCAGGCCTCCTAGAACACACGAGCCCCCAAACTGAGCCAGGCAGAGAGCGGGGGCTTGAAAAATGCAGCACCGTCTTCCTTTCCCTTCAAGCAAGGTCTCAAGCCACGGGAGGGGAGGAGGGTGCAGAGGATGTTGACCAACAGCACAATGGAATCTCAGGGGGCACCCAGCTTCCGAGTCCAGAGTAGCACCAAGCCCTGGCAGGGCTCGCAGGGTGCTGCGTGAGGCTCAACCAGGAGCAAAAACAAGGCAAAAACCAAGCACAGGAAAAGGAGGGGGAGACGCCCCAGCGGCTTCAATTGTCTATGCGGTTTTCTTTAAAAATGTGACTTGGGGTTGGGAGGGAAAACGGACTGGGTCTGATGCATTTATTGCAGTGTGACACAGTGGCTCCGTTCACTGGGATTATACTGCGGATGAAAAACCAGCAGTCCTGGGGGTCACGCACACCGAGATGTCAGGTTACAGGCACCCATCCTCAATGTTCCAGTATTCTGGAAAGGCAAGTGAAGCCTGCCAGTCAAGGCTCAGGACACACACTCAGTCTGGGCTCTTCTCATGAATGGCAACAGGACGTGGTAAGCAAGGCGCTGCCAGCCATCTCCCAGAACACCCTGAACTGGAACTCTTGCATCATGTGGGAACATGTGGAGGTGTCTGCAGAATGGGAGAAAATAAGGGCCCAGGGAAAAGATCGACACAGGATGGGCCTGTATGGCCGGTCGCCCATCCAGGATGGCATGGACACGATCTCTGCAATGGATGCAACAGGACTCAAGACACAAAGAAGCGTGTACCTTCTTACACCAATAAGCATACACCAATACCTCATTTGCAACTCTGGCCACGCCACACTCTCCAGTATGCACAAAAAGGCCCCTTCCAGGTGACCCAGGCAGAGACTCTCTGCAATGCCACGCTGCTCCTACGCTAAGGTCACCCAACCACACCCAAGGTTTTCAGGTCCATATCAAGAAGTAGAACTGAAGCATTTTAAGCTGTATCCAAAGTAGTCTTCCCTAACCTGGTGCCTTCCAAGTGTGTTGGGACTACAATTCCCAACATTCCCAAGCTTGGATACTGAGATTACAGTCCAACATCTCTGGAAGATACCAGGCTGGAGAAGGCTGGATCAAGGTCTCCTTGCCCAGGAAGAAAAAAGTTCCAAGGTTCAGACATCTTCTGGAGAAGGGAAATTAGGAGGGCCATGGGAAGAATTAGAACCGATTCAGAAGAGCCCCAGAGCTCCAGCCTTTCCACACTCTGGCCACCCGCCGGGCCAAGGCAGTGGGATGGTCCTAAGCAAAGAGAAATTTGAAGCCACAATGGATAGCCAGGGAAAGAAATCCTCCAAGGACAAGCAACAGGTGCCATGTCAGTGTTGCTTGGGCAAGAGGAAAAATGGCCTGCCTGAAACGGAACCCTTTCCCAGGTGAAAGGTCAGCTCAGATGTTACAGTGACGATGGAAAGCGCATTTGTAAGGCAAGGCAGCCAAGCCAGGCCAACCAGACCACCCTGTTTCAATAGCCACAGGCCCTTCAGGCCAGAGACGAACCAGCAAAGGCGACCCTTTTCTCATCCAGAAATAAAGGAAGTACCGTGTGTTTCGTGACAAACATTCCAGCAGAGGCCATGAAACCAGTCCGACCCCAGCAGCTCTGGCACAAGGGCCAAGGGGTCCAGTGGCAGAGCCGCCTCTGCAGACATTGTGCTGTCCCCACCACGCTGCTCCATCATGCTCCCTGCAAGGAGCCGCTTCCTCAGCACCAGAGGGCTGCGAGTATCCAGGCTCTGCCTCAAGGTTCCTGTGTAGGAAAGGCAGCTGCTCAGCGCACACCTGGAGAAGCCCCAAAGTTCACCGAAGGGAGGGGGAGGCGGCTTGCCCCAAAGCAGGTGATGCAACTGCTCCCTGGATTGTATCGGCTGCTCCTCAACAAACCTTTATTTTACTTAAATTATTTGAAACATGGGGAAGCCAAAACAGCCTCTGTGTTTGGCCTCATTCTTCCCCTCAGCTCTGCAGCCGGCCATGTCGTGTCTTGTCTCTCACAACCTGCACAGGCAGAAGAGAGTAGGGATGAAAACACCGAAGGCCACTAAGATCGGGAACATGAGGCTGCTGTTGTCCGAGGCATAAGGATTTGGTGTGCGGGGCCCTGACTGGACTCGGTTCTTATTGGTCTGCTTTTTCGTGCTGGAGCCTTCTTCATATTCCTCTTCATCTTCCTCCTCCTCCTTTTTCTCTAGGCCTGGGTGGGGCTGCAGCTTTGGAACATCTGTGGGAGTTAAGAGAAGGTGTGTCAGATACGGAGGAAAAGCAGACAACAGGCAGCACTGGGGTCTGGGACTAAAGCTGTGGAAATATTTTATATATTTGTATTGTTATTTATTTGTTGGAAGCCACCCCGAGGCTTATGCAAATGGGGCGGCATACAAGAATCCCAAATAAATAAATAGATAGATAGATAGATAGATAGATAGATAGATAGATAGATAGATAGGCAGGCCGCAGCACACATTCCAGTTTAAGGCACACACTTGTGCTAGTTTAATATGAATATTATAGATATATGAACCATACAGATATGCACAGGAAGTTGCTGAAGACCACATATGATGGCACACCCAGATTTGGTTCTGCATAAGATCTGGGCTCTTCATACAAAGGTGTTCACATTTGTTGGGTGTTCTTGCTGGCCAAGCCTAAATGTGCGGTCACCAGCCCTTCTGTCCTGATTAAACGCCCACCACTGCCCATTCCCAAACAAAAAGCTGGGCACACTCCAGGTCAGAGGCAGGCACAGCATCACCCCCCCCCCCCCCCCCCCAGCATTTCCTGATGGAAAAACTCCTGGGAGAATGACCAGCCGGGAGGCCGAATCCCAGGAGCTCCTGCAAGGCCCCGCGCCTGGGCCCAAGCAGAGGCTTCTTCCGCCCACTCCTGGTCCTCAACACAGCCAGCACAATGCCCTGCCTGGAAGGAGCACAAGAAAGACGTGCGGGCAAGCGCCTTTTCCCCAGGGCCACGAGAGATGAGGGGCGGGGAAGCCGAGGCGGCAGGGTCTTGCAGTGCCCAACAGGGCTGGTAACAGGCAACACAAGACGGGTTGGGCCAGCCGAAGCCTACGGCCAGCGGCAGCTCGCCAGTGTGACAGACCGGGCAGGAGCCGCCCTCTGTCCGTGGGCAGCAGTGGAGGAGCGTGGCAGTCAGCTGCCACATGCTGCTGCCAGCCAGCGGCGGGGAGAGAGACGCTGACACCAAACGGAAGGGAAAAGCACCTCACCGTCTACGGTTCCTCGCAGGAGGTACAGTGCACAGATTTTTGGATTATCATAGTACCCCTGTGGGAAAGGAAAGCAGAGATGAGCTTCATTCACAATCATGGACCAATCCAGAACTGCCGGCAGTCATTTCTTACTGAGAGGTTGCAAAAAGCCAGCTGATTATCAATTGCGAGCTGGAACATCATTGTCAACTGTGAAATAAAGTGTATAGAAGCTTTATACTTCAGTACGTAACCTAAGAAAACCCCGCCGGCCCCGGCCCCATCCAGTCCAGCAGTCTGTTCACACAGTGGCCACCCCGCTGCCCAAAGGATCCTGCACACCGGACACGGGTGCAGTGCACCCTCTGGCCCAAGTCCCCCACAGCAGTGTGCACAGGAACGTCTGGCACCACACAGCCTTCAAGACCAGCAGCCACTGGGAGCCGCCTCCTCCTCTTAGGCTATGGATGTGAGTTAATATTTAGATTTGTGGGAGGGAAGAGATCTGAGAACATGATGATAGAACTCTCAGTTGAGCAGTTCCATACTAGGGTACGCAGGTGGACTATTTAGATCAAGGCAATTTAAAATTTCTGACTGAGCCATCAAAAATCATGAATGAAAACCAATCTTCAAGTTCTTCCTTCATGCGTTCCTGAGTAGGCACCAGTGTGAATTAGGGCTCCCAGTAACACTGGCCTCAGTTCTGAGGGCTGCTGCCTGTATAGCCAAAACAGGAGCATTCATGCCCCAGAGGGGGTACCGGCAGGTTTGAGGGAGCCCCAAGGTATGAGCAAGTTTGCAAAAGATGCTTGCACAACAACTTCAGTGAGGTGGCAAACAGAACACTATTTTTTTTTTTTTTAGAAAAACACTTTTGATTTAGAAATGTTTATCCTGCCTGAATGTTTCTCAAGGTGACTTACAAAGACAATACACACCCATGCAGATGTAAAGCCACAAAACCCAGGAGGCCTTAGCCCCTTGGCCTTCTGATGCAGCTAACTTTGCACTTCTTTTTGGCTATGGAATCCCAGGGCAACAGACAGTGGGAGCAGGAGGTTCTTCTTGGTGTGTGTGGCCGGGGAAGTACTGCTACTTTGGCCGCTGAATGGACCGTGCCTGCCTTCTAGGGCTATTGTGCTACTTGTGAGAATCAGAGGGTACAACTGTGTGGGGGATATTGGTCCCCAGCCCCTGGCACAAGTCAAACTGAGGCTCCCTTGGACTCTCAAATGGAGGGCAATGATTTGGCAGTCTTGGTGCATAAGCTGCCGAAGTGCTTCCTTTAAGACTCTTTTTTTTTCAGAGCATGTCTGTTCCTGGGCAGTGCAGTTTATTTCCACGACGTGCTTAAGTTCCGTATTTTTTATCCTTGGCAGGGGAAAGGGGATCTCAACTTGTGAATATGAATCTGGGATACCGTGATTCCTCTTCATGGTCTCTGTGCATCATGCATACGGGCTCTGCACACGCAAGAGGGCTGTTTCGGGAAGGTTCCAAACCTGAGATTTGTTCAGTGGGAACTGCTGCCCCGCCTGCTCAGGCGCGAGGGAGGGTTCCCGCCCGATCCTCACTTTGTCTTCAACCGCCAACTCAGTTCCAGCAGAAGCTCCTTCTCCACTCTTTGTAGTAATATATATTTTGTCTACTGTCCTTTTTCTTCATACTTGGCCCTTTTCCTTAGCCTTTGCTGTAAAAAGCCCTGCACAGTTCTCCTCTCTGCATTCCTACCTTCCGACACAAAATTTCCACAAACGTATTACTACCTGTTTTCTTGTCTCTCCTCCTCTGCTCGCCAACTTCCACCTTCTGATCGCCTGCCCTTAAAGGTGCTCAGGACACCCTGGTGGCCCAGGCAACCCTGGTTCCACTCACCGGCTCCTCCACCTGCCTCTCGGTCCCAATAGCATCGCTCAGGGCCGAGGAGCGAGTGGCCCTCCACTCTGAGGGCCCACACACTCTGCTTAACAGCCCGGAGAGTCCAGCAACCAGCATACTGGCACGGTCCGGCAACAGCAAAGAAGGACCTCCCTGTCTCCTCACAATGGCTGCCAGGACGGATCATGCAGACCATCTCCACAGCCTATGAGCTGTCCAGCCTCCACTCTTTGGGAACAATGCAGGCTCACTCCACTCGAGCGACAGCAGCCTCCATGGCACTCGGCACTGGCGCATCTCTGCCCACCTCTGCGAGGCGACCTCCTGGCTGAATCCGTCGGCCTCTGCGATGCACTACCGCCTCCGTGTTTGGGCCAGGGCGGACTGGGCCTGCAGGAGAGTGGTCCTGCTGGCAGCTCTCTGACGGGGGTGCTGTCCCTCTCCATGGGTGCACTGCACAGAGACTGTGAAGTAAGGCAGGCTGCTTACCTGTACCTGTCATTCTTCACGTTGGTCTCTGTGCATCCACACAAACCTCCCCTCCTCCCCTCTCCAGTGCTGCATCCTGATGGCATTCTGCTCATACCGTGACCAAGGGAGGGCCATAGCCCCCACCCCCTGCTTTCTGGACATGGGGCCACAATGTCGGTTTCATGCCCACAAAGTGAGGATAGGGCAGGAACCCCTCTCTCATGCAAGGGTGAGGTCAGGGGAGGGGTCGCCACCAAACAAACCTTGCACACTGAAATGCGCGTGTAGAGTCCAATTGTGTGAATGCACAGATGTCCACTCAAAGAATGATGGTTACAAGCAAGCAACCTTACTCTTCTCCACACATTAGGGAAGCCTTTTCATCTACACAATGCCTTTTGATCTTTTAAAACTGAGGTGTATTATTACCTTCTGTAATAAGGTAATGAGAGAGAGAAAGAGCAAGACAGTAAAGCCTGCATCGTGCTGAGCCGTGTGTGATGCCTCTCTGCACACAGCCCTGTCAGGACTGGAGGAGACGTCCCACCCCCCTGAAATCACATCCTCAAAATCAGCATTTTCCCTCCCAACAAGAATGAATGGTGCTATTTCCAGAATTGAAGAGACAGTCTCAGAAAGGGCCTCAACCCATTTGCTGCTTTTTGAATCTTGTTACCATTGAGCATCAAACTGGGGCTTCTGCCTAAGTCTAGCTAGGGGTTCTTCAAACTTGCCCCGGAATACAGTGAATGGGTGACAAGGATAGACTTTTGAGAAGGGAATGACCAAGCACAAATAGGTAATTAGCATGCCTTCCCTATTAACATCTTAAAAAGGAAAAAGGCTGCCTCCACGCCAGCATCTGCTGTTACCTTCACAAACTCAATGTTTAGCTTCCCCGTGTACGTGGAAACCTCTCCCTGGACAGTCAGCTTCCCCTTTTTGATGCTGATTGGAATAATCTCATCATGGGCTGTGCTGTGTCCAACTCTGTCAAAGATGTCCAAGTCCTTCACCACCACGTGGCCATTCAAGCGCACATCGAACACCTTCAGGATGGGAGGGAGACAAGAGGCAAAGGAGTCATGCCCTGGCTGACTGGAAGGCAGACTGACACAGCGGACTGGTGCTGGTTGGCAGGCCCAGAGAATGGATGGCCACCAGCTAATAAAAACTTTGAACGGCGGTCCTGAATTTACTAATACTAGGGCATGACAGGACACCATTACTGGCATGGCCAAGCTCCACCGGCATCGTTGTTACATACATAGTTCGTAAGTTAACAAACATTCTTTCCAGGAAGAATGGAAACAGCTGCCTTTCCATGCTGCCTGATAAAAATTATCTGAAACTCAGAAACTGCAAGATATGTCATCAGCAGGTGTTAAGAAGATACTATTTTACTTATTTTGAGCTTCATCTTTCCGAAAGACTGTGAAGATGGCGCTCTTCCTCAGGCAGAAGGACAACACCCCCCTGGCAAAATAAGCAACATGGGAAACATGCAATTTTTGTTTGTCTCATCATTTTGGACACTTGGATAGTTAACCAATCAGGAAAATGTAGTGTCTTTCCATTACAGTGCCAGAAAGGAAGGGGACGGGCACCCACCAAGAGCCTTTGTGTGATTCCCTAAAATACGGTAAAATTCAGAGAGAACAGCAAGGGGGAGTGCAGCTCCATGCACTCCCCACAGGCATGCGGCACCTTTCAGATGCTGCTCCTGCCCACTCACCCACAGTGACACCTGGGCACGGATACTATATATAGCAGCTCAGCCCGTTGGAGATTCCCAACAGAATATGACCTGCCAAGATGACACATTTAGTACCTTTTGCTGGGACTGTGCAAAATAGACTTCCGCAAACTTCAGCACAAGAACGTAGTCGCCTTCCTCCTTGATGGGGACCTCATAACCAAACGTTTCCTCATTATAGCGTTCTGTCTGGTAGAGAATTTGATCCTCTGGGTTGGATCGCAAGATTGGCAGCTTCATTCCATAGTCGGAAGCTGTGAGCCAAACATAAATGTTAGCATTCCCACAGTACTTTGCATGGGCTCCTTTTTGCTTGTGTGCAGGCAGCCCTGGACTCCCTCCCCAATACTACTATTTGCAGAATTCTCCCAGAACAATCATATCAGACCTCAACAAGTTCCCTCCTCCCTGCAGTTTTTGGGGAGGCAATATCCTAATGAGAGACTCGCTCAAGCAAGATCTGGTGGCTAGAATGCTAGGGCTGAAATGCAGCTGGACATATTGAAATTTACTTGTACGCGGAATTTCTGGCTGCGGCATTTGTTTGCCATAGCAAAGTCAAATGCATACTATGTGAATTGGCCCTGTTGAGAAACAACCAGCCGGATTTTCAGTTGCTTCAGTGTCAGCAGCGACAACTGGAACTTTTTCCACTACATGACCCTGTTCCAAAATAGTGATATTTGAACAGTCAGTCAATTAAGAGCAGACTGAACATTTCCAAGGAACTTTGATGACATTATCCACTTCGTTCTGCTACACATGGCTGGAAGTGCTCACTCTGTTCCACAGCCAGCATTCTTCCCTCCTTCTCTTATGGGAAAGGGGTTGGGGTGGCAGGAAGAGCCAAAAAATGAACACTTTGGAGACAACAAAAGGGGCTTCAGACAATTAAGGAAGCAACATTAGACTGGCAACATCAGTTCAAAATTTTATGCCTGCAGGTCTGAGTCTGGAAATTCAAATGCTAATCAGAAGATTCAAGTTTGTTAATTCTGCATGGCAGCCCTTCAAATTTCCAAAAGAAAAATCACAGGCTTGCACACCCATACCAAGGGAGGCAGCTGCCTGCAACAGAACTGCCAGATTTACTGCATCCACCTTGCCTCCCAGTCTCTGCAGCAGGAAAAGCCTCTTGCTGTATCCTTGTATCTGGACAGAGAAAACCACCAAGTCTCCCAAAACAGAGGCACACAACAAAATCCCATTTTCACAAGTGTCTGCTCAAGGCATCTCTGCAGGTGCTACAACCCAGATATTAAACTGCTCTAAAGATCATGCCAGTTCTTACACTTTCACCTTCTAGACGTAATGCTCCTGGGGCGTAACAAACGTAACGCATGCCTCCAGCTTCAGTTCCGGATCAAGAACGTAAGAAAAGCCAGGCTGAGCCAGAGCAAGGATGCATCCGGCCCAGCGGTCCATTCAGCTCAGCGGCCGAGATTGTCTCAGCTCTCAGAAGCTGGGAAAAACAGTTGGACAGTTCTTCCTACTGCAAGGGACAAACTGGGAATCCCAGCCTCCATACAGAACACACACACAGCAGCCATAATGAGAAGAGAGTCTGTGATCGAGACTTCTAAGCAGCAGTCAAACAAGAATATTTTATAAGAAAGGTAAACCAGTCATCAGAAACATGAGAGGTGCTGCACAGTGTGTAAAGCAGCACACTGTGGAAAGCAGTTTTCTCAATGAAACACAAAAATCTCTTTTCCTGGCCCTCACAGACAGAGTGGGGAGAATGCCTCTTCAGCACGATGCCCCTTTTATGAAAAATGCATGTGTGTTATCTAAGAAAACACGCTTCTTGCTTCAGAAGTATCATGTATCTCATACAAACATTAAAAAATCACCTGAATACAACTCAGGTAGTTACGATTCATAAAGCCCAAGAATAAGGGCAACTTCTTATCATGGAACTTTCACCAATGCCAGAGAGACCCATGATCCCCAGTATGGACGGAGCAGAACCTCAATTATAGCAGCTGGCATGGGGCACTCTGGCACAGTGCGATCAATTGCTCTACTCTTGCTTCTAGAGACAGGAAGGCCCAGGGGGAAAAAATAGGGTTTCCTTGTATTTCTCTGTTTTCCCCCGAAAAATCAGAACATTAGCACATTTTGGATTATGAAAGGAGTCCTTTTTTCTTTCTTTCTCTTTCAGAACCCCTGCCAAGAATGCTTCCTGTATCAGTTTGACACTGTGGAGGAGACCAGCATGTAGAACTACTTTGCCAGGAATTTTTCTTGGTACAAATCAAATAATAAACTAAATGATTCTAATGGTGTCTTTGTTTTCAATACTGACTCCCTGCTCGCTTCTCATAATTGGCCGTTTGTTGCAAACATTAAAACTGTTTAAAAGTAACTTCAATTACTAAATTTGGAGTTAGTTTGAATAAACCAAAATTTAAATTGCAGCACTTGCTTCTACCCACCACCACAGCTGCCACAAGCAAGCCCGCTAGTGAAGATCACTGTCGTGGGTGCTTAAAAATATGGAACTGGAACCCTGCAATAACAGTATTTTCAAACAACGTTAATGTAACACTACCCAGGCAGATCAACGCTGAGTCGGGACAAACGCTTTGTCTAAGGCAGGGGTCAGCAACCCGCGGCTCTGGAGCCGCATGTGGCTCGTCCATCCCTCTGCTGTGGCTCCGTTGCTCAAAATACGCATCACAACCGCCAATGTGCGACACACGTCGGCACGCGATTTGTTGAGCTTTTCGACCCCCGGTAGGTCAACCATGGATAAATCCAAGAAAACAAAAGTTTCAGAAGAAAACAGAACATTTAATGGTACGTGGGCAGATTCATTTGCTTTCACTACTGACGAGATTGGTTTACCAGTATGCTTCATATGTGGTGAGAAATTGGCAAACAACAAAAAGTCGAAGGTTGCAAGACATTTCCAGAATAAACACACAACCTTTGCTGAAAAATATCTGGATGGAGAGAGAAAAAAAGCCATTTCAGAACTGATGCGGAAGGTTGATCTGAGCAAAAATCAATTCAAGAAGTGGATCAAGTCTGGAAATCCAACTGCATCTGCTAGTTTTGTGGCCGCTCAGGAAATAGTCAGGCACAGGAAGCCGTTCACAGATGGAGATTATATAAAATAATCATTCATTGATTTCATAAATGCAACACACTATAGTTTTTTTTATACAAAGCATAAAGGTAAAAAACGATATATGCAGTGTTATCTTCATTTTAGATGTCAAAAGGGTTTTGGGGCTCCTGGTGTTTTCTTTTCTGTGGAAAATGGGTCCAAATGCCTCTTTGAGTGTTTAAGGTTGCCGACCCCTGGCCTAAGGGAAGTGGGTAAGTGAGAGGTAAGCTGACATACAAACTAGTACACTAGACGGTCGTATGGGTTAGCTACCCCTAAAGTATGTATGTATGTATTTAAAACTTATGTATGCCGTCCCTTACGCATGGCATCTCGGAATGGCTTACAATCATTAAAACAACACAATAAAACAGTAAGAAATAACAATAAACCAGAAAAAATACTATTAAATAAGTTAAATAAAAGTGACTGATAAACATTAAAATTTTAAATTAGTTTTTAAAATAGCAGTTAGATAAAAAGATTTTAACCTGACGCCAAAAAGAATATAAACTCGGCACCAGGCACACCTCTCTGGGGAGCATATTCCATAATCTAGGAGTCACCGCAGAGAAGGTCCTCCTCCGAGTAGATATCCTTTTTACCTCCTTCAGGGAGGGTTCTTGGAGCAGGGCCAAGATCTTAAGGGGCGTGAGGGCATATAAGAAGACATTCCTTCAGGTATCCTGGTCCCAAGCCATTCAGGGCTTTATAGGTCAAAACCAGCACCTTGAATTGGGCCCGGGCTTCAACTGGAAGTCAGTGGAGCTGACAGAGGACTGGCGTTATATGAGAATAACAACTGGCCCCCGACAGCAACCTGGCAGCTGTGTTCTGTAGCAGCTGAAGTATCCGGACCGTCTTCAAGGGCAGCCCCATGTAGAGTGTGTTACAGTAAAGTAATGGTGTTCCCAGTGCCACCCAAAATATATCGCTACCAGAGGCAGGACAGGAAATGGTGCCCTTATCCCAAATGCAAAACATATCATACCCTAGATCAGCCAAGATATTTTGGCACCACAGCCACTTTTTCTCCTCCCTGGCAGTAAAAATGCAATAGTAATTAATTAAATGATTAATTATTTCTTGCCCATTCAGCATATCCCAAATCTCATGCTGCCTAACGCAAGAGGAGCTTTAAACGCACAGGGTGCATAAGCCCACGCACACAGTTATTACATACTTTCATCTCTCCCTTAGCGTCTCCCATGGCTTCAGAACCTCTATCCACCCCTGGCTGCAGGGCAGCTGTCTCTGCCCCTCTTCTTGCAAGGGGCGCAAGTGTCCCAGTACATCCTCTCCATGTGGATTTCTCCATCTTCAGGGGTACTTGGCTAGTGCCTTTTAAATAAGATGCTGACTCAGGCATGTAACCCTCACTGTTTCACAACAGTCAGAAACAGTCCTCCCCACCCTGATGCCCTGCACATGTCTTGGGATGCAAATCCCATTGTCTCAATCTAGTGTGCCCAAGTGGAGGGCACCAGGCTGGGGAAGGGTGTGTTAACAGTAAATTGCTTCACGCTACAAGAATGAACCGAAGCTCTGCTTTTCATTCCCCTTGCTTGCCAAATTTGACCTTGAGTAAGGCCATCCCCAACTAAGCCAGATGGGCAGAAGAAAACATCAGAGTGAGAATAAGATCTAAGAGAGGGGCCCCTCGCAGGCCGCCCTGCTTTGATGCGGGTGAGAAATGCCGTCTGCACCCTCAGATGGGTCACAGATATGCTCCAGTGGCCGCAGTAAATTCAGGTTAAAAAAAGTTTCACACTGTAAGATAAATTAAGCCAGGGGCCTGAGACAGCAAAAAGCAGTACCCAAGCCCAAGTGTATGTGACTCCACCTTCCTTTAAAGGCTCAAAACGAAACCAGATGCAGGAGGAGTGGGAGGGGGAAACAAGGGCCAAAAAGGATTTACTAGCATTTACATATCCTTAAAATGCTAAAGAAAAACCCAGGGAAAATGAACACCGGGCACTCAAGCGGCAGAAGGCTGATCTGATCAGCTGATATGGGAACATGATCTGTAAATACTTCTGTTTACCACCTCCCTCTCTCAGCTGACTTTCACAAAGCATTTTTGATATTACAGTTCTAAAGAGGCCACTTGACTTACTGTTTTAACTATTTATTCTGACTCATTTTTGCAAAGAAAAAAGGTACCAAAAATAGCACCCTAAATAAAACTGCAGTTGCCCTCCCAACACCGACTGTTCCTTTTTAAAAAAATGCTGAATCTAGTGCCAAAAAGCTTGCAACAGGTGCCTATTCTGAACACGCACAAAGAGGAAGGGCAGAATCTTCCCACTTCATTCTTCAGTCTCTGTGTGGACCTCTTTTTAAACAGGAAGCATTCTTTTCTTTCTGTCCGCCAGCAGCCAGCCCTCCTGGCTCACCTGCAGGAAAGGGAGAGTGAGGCTCTGTCCTCTGGCCAAGCTGCAGCGCACGCCCTGCCCGCCCCCGCACTACCAGGGTACCACCTAATGACATGAAAGAAAGCTTCAGTACGGGACTGTTGTTATGCCACTCTCTTCGCCATTCCCATTTTATTTATTTATTTATTTTCCAATTTATATCCTGCCTTTTTCCTACCAAGGGCTCAAGGCAGCTTACATCATTCTCCTCCATCTTATCTCCACAACAGCAACCCTGTGAGGTAGACTGGGCTGAGAGTCTGCGACTGGCCCAAAGTCACCCAGTGGGCTCCGTGGCCGAGCGGGGACTAGAACGCAGGTCGTCTGAGTCCCAGTCCCATGCTCTTAACCACTACGCCACACTGGCTCTCTGTACCTTATTCCCACTGTACCTTATTTTTCAGATTGCAAAACACTGTTCTAACTGACCTCCATCAACCTGGTGGTGCACCCCTCCCATATTTTTGGACTGCAATTTCAAGCATGCTGGCTGCAGCAGATGCAGGTTGAAGTCCAGTCCATCTGGAAGGCACCAGGTTGTGAAACTTATTCTAAACTAAACTACAGAAGAGCAGTGGGTACATATGCAGGAATTGGCGCAGCCGAGGTCCCTCTTTTCATCACAAATGTACCCAAAACAGCCACCAGTACAGAGTACATGGGATCTTGCCCAAGCATTCACTTGCCCAAGGATGATGGGCTGGAAGCGAAAGGCAAGCCCCTCTGTCCTGCAGAGCCCTACAGGTCAGCGAAGGAACAGATCCCATACAGGAGGGCACACCCTTGCATGTCACCAATGCCGTCTTCCTCAGCATCACCTCTCAAGAGCAGAATTTTGCTGCAAGGCTGTATGAGCCTCGCCACAAGATCCAGCTTTTGTAATCAATATGAAAGAGCACTGGAGAAACATCTCCTAGGCAACTTTTTCCAAGCTGGTGCCTTCCAGATGGGTTGGATGACACCTCCCTGCCTTCCCAATGCATCACAAAGGCCTCAGTTTGAGAAAGATCTGCCCTGTCACCCCTGAGCCATATTCTATTTCAAATTTATGGATTTAATGGTGCTCTGAAGATGTTCATCATGGTGCTTCTGCACAACTTTATCCTGGCACTGTTCTGATACCGCCTTGAACTTCATGATGCTGTTTGCTTAGATATATTCTCCCACAAATTCTAGGCCCTTTTGGACACAAATGTCTGTGATTTCTGGGTGGGTTACTCCTGAGTTTATTCAAGTATCCTACAGCAAGGAAGCTGAACATTTCTGTAACCAGTAAGTGCCAACTTTTTCTTAACTTTTGTGCCACAGTAAAATATTTTGCATCTTTGTAACACAACAAAACCTTAAAAGGAAGGGGTATGTACTTCTGCAAGGTGCTGTAAAATGAATGCCTGCCTAAAACATATGTTTGAAAAAACACAGTCATCAGAAGCATAGATTTGTGCTGCTTTGAATCAGCAGGTCAAATTGGGGAAGAAACTGAAATCTGTACAAAATTGAATTTCCAAATAAATTATGCTTTTGTTTTTAAAAAAACAATGCAAGTTTCTAACCCTCATGGTTGCACATGGCAATTTGAAAGCATTCAAACTGAAGACAGAACAAGTTCTTCACAGTGTTTCAGTGTAATGCTATGTAATTATCAAAGCTGAGCAGTTTCTGTACAAATTGGCATGGTTCTAGATCAAATATCTATTTAAGCTGCACGATGATGTTAGATGTTGATATAAGCAGGCATCAAGTTTTTGCCACGTGCTCACAAGGACAGAATGGTACAGCATTTTACCATAAGGAGAAAGATTGCATCCTGTACCTCTAAAGACCATTGGAAGACTATAAGCATTGCCAAAACTTTCCATCTACTTTGCACAATATCAGAACCTGCTAAGTTTTCACCTGTGATGCCTTTTTCCTTGCAAGAAACTATGCAGATCGATGTACCATGTATCACAGAGCTGTGGGAAAGCGCTTGTGCCCCGCTCTCTCCTTGAAGAAGTCTGCCACACAGCTTAGAATAGGCTGGCTACTCGACAATTCATAGATCCAGAAACTGGCACGCAGCAGAAGCCAAGAGACATGGACAAGAGATTTTGAATTAGTCACAGAAGGGGAAATTGCAGCCAAGAGAGGGAGAGCTACGTTTACAGAGCCTATCTTGAACTTGCCTCCCTTGATATGGGCTGAACTACAACTCCCATCACCACAGCCAGCATGTCTACTCATGCTGGTTAAGAATGATGGGAACTGCAATACAGCACATCTGAAGGGCACCAGGACAGAGATGGCTGCTGTACAGATGTCTTGGTTCAATTAACCTACAGAAATAATGAACTTGTGTGAAATAAGTGGCTTCTATCAAGTAACAGACAAACGGCTCAACAGATTTCACCCTCAGGTGCCAGAGAGATCAAAAGGTCAGCACAGAACAGATGAAATAAGGAGGAGATTTAATGCACAGGGGGAAAAAGATCAAGGCCATTTTTTAATCTAAGCCACTAAAGAAGGCTGAAAATGGCCAGCGCCCTGTAGCCACAAACGGTTCCCAGGCAAAGCACCTGGCATGCTTGTGGTTAGCATTTCATCAAAAACATGGGCCACAAGCATCAGCTCTGAGCAGATGAGAGCCCGCCAGCAACCACCCCCACCCTCTTGCATACACCAACCAAAATGAGAAGCAGCCACAGGCTCAAGTTCAAGGTTCCCACATCTGCAGTTCACCAATCATAGGCAGGCGGCAGCAGGTGGTACGTTTGAGAAAGGGAGCAGCCCCAGAAGGAGCAAAGTCCAGCAATGAGAGCTGCCAACACAGCACCAACTCAGAAGGATATTGGTGGGAAGAAAAGGCAAGGGACAACGAAGAGGAGCCATGGGAAGGGCAGCAGGCAAGGAAAGAGAAAAGCAGGGCCAGTGCAGAGAAGTCCTAAGTGCAGGAAGAGCCAAGCCAAGGCACGCAGGCCACTGCAGTGAGAGAGACAGCAGGAGCCCCGAGGCATTCAAGGTCACATGGGCTGTGTGAACCTTTCTCCTTTTCCTGCAGCATCCCACCCAGAGAGTGGCAAGGAGGCATACTCCTCCTGGCTGCAAGACTGCTGTGAATGGGAGTGGAAAGGGAGAAGAAATACAGGGAAGGGAGTGCCCAGGAGCCGAGTCCACTGCGTGAAAAAGCCAGGCCAGCAGGGCAAGACTGCAGCAGGCAAGCCAGGAGAGGGGCAGGGTCCAGGAAGACAGAGGAAATGGGACTACATGCTACATCAGCCACCCCAAGATGTTTGACTACAACTCCCATCACTGCTGACAAGTGTCTGTGCTGGTTGGGGCTCATGGGAGCTGAAGTCCACAATATACAGGTTCAGGAAGGCTGCGGTAAAGCGATGGGACTTAGGAAGTCCAGGACTTGCAATATGACAAAGTTATGCAATGCTTTGCAGTGTTCTAAGCATTTTGCCTACATTTTCTCAGTAAATCTCTCAAACAGTAAGGCAGACTAGTCTCATCAATCCCATTTAAGAGTGGCCTTAAAGTAATGCAGGCTGCAATTCTTTACCTACTTATGTGGGAGTGATCGCCTTGAGCTTCTCCATAAAAAAAAAAACAGAGGTACAACTGCACTACTAGGAAATTCATAGCTGTGTTAAGATTTGAGCTGCAGGCTTTTCAGTTCACATTCTTAGCTCCGGCTCCAGCTTTGAACTATTAATTATTACCATACAACACCAGGGCACAGAATTTGCATGATAACAACACTTTTATAATTAAGAACAGGAAGCTGTTCCCTAGGCTGGTGTATCTAATCCATGGTAACAAGCATGCAGAGTTATTGCTGATAATGAGCAGTGGTGTTAATCCAGATTAACCTATTTGGAGCACGAAAAAGCCTTACTTTATTATTATTCCTTTGGAAGGAAGTCCAAGAAAAGACTCAAGAGTTACTGGAGAAACAGCAACAAACCATTCCACTAGATCACTCCAACAGTCACTGCCCGCCTCCAAAGCAGCTACCAAGATCCCACGAAGTTCATGCACAGAAGAACGGCCATTATCCGATCTTCAGAGATAAGCAGGAGGTGGCTCCAGCATCCAGCTAGCATGACTGACAGTCATCTATGAACCTCTCTATCTTAGAGGCTGCCCTCAAGCCTCACCATAAGTTAATTACAGGACTTCCTCAATTTGCAACTCCACAAACAGAAGAGGGCAACACGATCCCCGAACACATCTTCACCGCCAGGCAGGCACCTCCTGCACATGAGATGCTATCTTGCCTAACAGGAGCTTATTAGGCACAGCACCCTGTTCACTTTTTAAAGAAAAGCCATCTAATGCAGGCTTCTCCAATATATAATACTCCAGATGTTTTAGACAATGACTCTGGTCAACCTAACCCAGCCCGAACACACCTGGAGGGAACCAGCTTAGGGAAGCAATTCCCAACAGCAACTTCCACCAGCTAGATGGGGTTGCTAGGAGTTGCGGTCCAGCCCCCGGGGGCGCCCTCTTGGGCAAGGGCCGCCTTGCGCCGCCGCCCGCCCGCCCGTTCCCGTCACGTGGCGGGGCGTTCCGCACGCCGACCGGCCGAGGCTCACCTCGTCCCACGCGTCCCTCGAGCGGGTCCTTCCGGAAATGGATGCCGTGCACGTCCACATGGGCCTCCCCGCCCGAGTTCACGGCCCAGATGACGTTCTCCGCCAGACTGGCCCCCTCCGCGGAGAGAGGCGGGAGAGGCGGCAGGAGCAGCAGCGCCAGCGGGAGCAGCACCGAGGCGGCCAGCCGCGGCGGCGGCGGCCCGGCAGCCACGACCGCCGCCATCCCGAGCCCTTCCGTGGCCGCTCAGCTCGGCACCGGTCCCTGCCCGCCGCGCTTCCTCCCGCACATGCCTGCCGGCCGGCCTGCCTGCCGGGCGCCTACCGCACAGACCGCCCTCACACCTACACCTCCCCGCCGCAGCCGCCTCGGCCTCAGCCGCAAGGGGGCACCCTATCCCGCTGGCTTGCCGGCTACCCGCGACGCCAGCCAATCGTCGCGCCGCGGAGCGGACTTTCGCCTCCTCGTTGGCTGTCGGAGTTCCTTTATTTGCATATCGGCAAGGCCACCGGCCCATAGGTGCGAGGAGACGAGGAGCAAGTTGAGTTGAGAGCGCAAGGCCGGTGGAGAGGGTTGACTGGCTGTACTTGAGCAAGGGGACGGAACGGTTGGGCCCATCCATTTGTTTCGTTACGTGAGGGGGAGACTTCCCTTTACTAAGTTGCACTTTTCCCGCCTTTCTCTCTATATCAGAGCGTGTGATGAATTGAAACAAGCTGCTTTTTGCTAGGGTTTCCGGCTGAGTTACCTAGTGTTCATAGTTTAGGGGGAAAAACAACGACAATGACGATACATTTCCCCCTGCAACATTTTGACTAGAAAGAGTCATCAAACACCTTCTCCTCTTCCTAGTAGTAGAGCCCAAGTCTGACTACCCAATCAAAAAGCTCCAGCGCGGCTAATAAATGCGGTGGATTATGGGGAGAGCAAACCGGAAGGAAGTTGGTTAGGAGTGTAGAGGCCTGGTGGTGGTCATAGTAACCGACTCCGTTCCTCGAGTATTGTCGGGATTCATGACTGCGCCCTCCCTTTTTATATTAAACCCAGTGATTGAGGAACGCGGGCGTAGCAATCTATTTCCGTTTCCTGTTTAAGGCCTGTAGCGCAGGAGGTCTCAAAAGCCAAGGGGAGCTTGTGCTTTTCTTTCGCGGCAGCGTCGCACTCTTTCATTCGTTCGTGTGTCTGCAAGAGCCTTCTTGAAGCGTCGTGCCTGATAGAGAATGCACAAAGTCCCTAAGGAAGTCCACTTCGACATAGCCTGCAAATATTAACATACAGCAGGGCCAGAAAAGGAATCCTTTTCTTTAGCCATCAACATGGGTGTATGCTTTAAATATAGCTGACAATGACCAGGCGCCATTACAGAGAGGCACCAAGCTTATACTTGACAGATAAGAGCAGTAAAGGGCACTGTACAGTCACCCACCCCCCTTTCTCCCACTCCAGAGCATCTTTTTGCTTCGGTATTGTCAGAATCCCGGAATCTCACCATTTGAAAAGAGGGAATAAAACTCGGGTTTGTGGGAAAGACCAAGCGTCCAGACCATCTGAGACTTTATTGTTTTACCCCCAAGGTTCCCGCAGCACACTCACGATAATGCATGCTGAACTCTGCTGCAAAGCTTCAATACCATTGCAGGGCATTTATAGGTACACAGGTACAGGGCAATTGATGACAGAATGCAGATTACAATAAGATTCTGAGGTCATCACATACAGAACAGATAAAGGACTGTCAGTCAATCACACTGTAACAATGAGATTAAAATATTTCTAATTGTCTGTATTGACACTTGAACCCATCTCCAGGTCTGCTCAGACATGCAAATTCAAGCTACTGGAAACTATTCATGATAAGCTCAGACTCCAAAACATTCTGCATGATCAGGGCACATGAAGCCGTCTGGGCTATCAAAAGATTATTGTAAACTGAATTCCAACAATGACTATTTACAATGTATATTTGGGCTAAAATGGCCTACCGTAGCCTACAGCTAAAGGTGAGAGAAAGGAGTGGGGGAATGCCATTTTAAACAGTGACAACTTGGTTTTGAGAAGGAAGACAGGATTTGATCCCACAATGCAAAGGCACACAGGAGTAATGCTTTTCAGACAGGATTTATCCAAATTTTCCCAACAGTATGCAGGCTGGAAAGATCACGCCATTGTAATTTTTCACTTCTGCAATCTGTTAGAAAGCGATAGCCATGTTGCATGTGTTGGGAAAATCCAGATAAATCCTAATGCTTGTATGTGTCTTTGTGTTATAAAAATCAAACCTGCACCCCTTTCTTGGAAAGCACTCCAATTCCAAGCCAGGTTGCTGTTTAGTATTTCTGTTACTTTAAGGGATAGGTGTGGGAAATGGAAAATTACTGTTACTAAGTAGGAAGGTGAAAACTGAAGAAAGGATGAAATAAAGGGCTAGGGTAAGACCACTGAAACCTCTTAAGGCCAAAGGGCCTGAGGACAGAACCATGTAGAGAGTTGTAACAAAAATAATAGTGCTTCTTACATCAAAGTCCTGAAGAACTCAAGGGGGGTGAGGTTGGGGGCAGTGGTAAACCTGTAATCTTTTGTGGAAGCGAGTAGGAAATTGATTGCCTCTGACAATTGGTCATAATGAGCTTGGAGGAAGGCTTGTTCATCCTATCTCATCCTCCCACAAGATTTGGGAAATGAGGGGGCATCAAGCAGACTGTTACAAGACCAAGACGACCTGTTGAACTTTTCGAAAGTAGTATGCACGCTTAACAGGTTCATGAATAACAACTGACACACCTCTCATAAGTAATGGGCTCATGAACGTGGGATGTATGAGTGGGAGGGGGAACATATCAAGGAGTGGTATGATGTAGGCGGACAGTGAAGATTGTGAACTCTTAGCAACCCAGCCAGTGGGAGGAAAGAGGCAGGGTCTGCAAGCCAGGAAAAGGGAATAAAAAGCAATGTCTTGTGTATAAACGGCGTGCTGCCTGTGTGGTGGGCGCCCGCTCTTGCAAGAACGTATTAAACTATTACTGCTTAGTACTTTGCCTCCCTATCGTCACTGCTTGGATTTCATTGCTTACAATAGGAACTCAGTACTACATTCAGTTGTAAAGCTCACTGCATTGAGACTTTTGTGCTGCTAATCCACTAGCAGCAGCAACCTGGCCTGATTAATCCACATTCAAACTGATGGCCAAGACCAGCAATGGCCCATGACTGACATAACAATCTCTTGTCATCAAACAGTATTGTGTTAATTCTCCTCTGCAGAGCTCTCACATTCTTTTCACCGTGTTCCCCTTATGTTGTCAACTGCCCAGCGACTCAGAATCTATAAAGCACTCTGGAAACTTGTAGTAGGTTTCTCCTCTACCCAACAGTGCTGTTGTAAATATGGGTTCTCTGCAGCAGGTACCTGAGAGTTCAATCAAATAAACTGCCGAGATTCATAATGAAATCTGTCTCCCTGTGAATCTGAGCATACATTCTCCCAACTGGTATTTTGAGATTCCCTGATACGTGTAACCCTTTAATGATCAATGTATAAAAGGGCCAGCTGAGGACTGCTCAGGCGCAGTATCTGGAACAATTGGTTGGCAGCGGTTATTCTTAAGAATAAATCTTTTAAATTAGAACCTTCTCCTGTTGTGTAGTTTGGGTATACGCACACTAGGACACGGACCATTTGGTCAACGATTATGCAACAGTTCCAATAAAAAGCTAGCCTCAAAGTGATGTGATAAAAGGAACGCTTATGCATATTACACCAACACCCAGAAATAGATGTTGTGTCCACCTGCACTTCCCCGCCTGAGTTCATGGTGCTTTGAAACTATTATTTATTTATTAAACGCTTTTATAGGCCATCCAATACAAGCGCCTGGCTTACAAGATTACCATATGCATTTGCTCACTTGTGCCCTGCCTTTGAGCACAAAGAAGAGCTCAAGTGTGCCGTTTGCTCTTGCAAACGGTTCCCCTGCCTGCCATTTTACATAACTGACAGTAAGTGTATGGGGTTCAAGACCCCCTCAGCCCTGGGAGGCCTTGTGTAGTTGCTCTCAGCAACTCAATATCACAGTGTTGTCATGGGAAGAGCACTGTGATTTCCACCTTGAGCTCTGTGCAAAAAGAAGGTATGAGTTCCATATCTTGGATACAGAGGCCAGTCGGAACACTAGACGGGGACGACGAACAGAGGCTGTTCTTTGCCTCCTGGCTCGGCTCTCAGTTTGCCAGGTGCTCCCTCTGCCTGCCGGACACCCCAGGAGGCCTCCGTGGCACTGGGCCAGCAGGGCCGTTCCTTGGCCTCAAAGCAAGCTCTCCCCATGCACCGGATTGTGGGTTGTTTCACAGCCAGCCTGTGCCTACCAGTTGTTTGCAGCTAGTTACTGCTGTCAGTGCTCTGGGTGCATGTGCTGGACTTTAGAGAGGAAGGCCATGCCAGCCTCACACAGAAACCCGTTTCCCTCCTCCCTCACCCAGCTGAGCAAAGAGACGGTACAAGCAGGGGCCGGCAACCTTTACCCCTCAAAGAGCCATCTGGACCCGTTTCCCACAGAAAAGAAAACACTGGGAGCCGCAAAACCCCTTTAACATCTGAAATGAAGATAACACTGCATGCATCATTTCTTACCTTTATGCTATGTATAAAAACACTATAGTGTGTTGCATTTATGAAATCAATGAACTGCTACAGAGAACACAAATTTTTATTTCTGCATGCAACAAAAACATTTTGAACTCTGAAAAAAAGACGCTGGGTTGAAGGTTACTTTCAAATAAAATACTCAGTGTCTATTTGAGTCCTCCTCGTATTTATGAAATAAAAAGCCGAACTTAAATTATCCACCTGCAGCAAACCAAAAATGCTGTCTGCTTCTGTGTGCCCTCATCCTTTTATCACATGTACTGGAGGGTGCAGTCAGCTGTCAACCTGTATAAAAAAGAGACTGATACTTTCATACAGTAAGTAGAGTTTCTGCAATACAACAAATATAAATGAAATATTGAACAAACATCCCTCTCCCAATGTAATAATGTTGCTGGAATTTTTATAAGAATCTCCTTAAAACAAGGAAGTAGATCTATATCTTCATTACAATTTAGCTACTGCTCTTGTTCAGTCACTAAAAGCTGTTATTTTAATATTACATTATAAACTAGTAGGATTCCTTTCATATATTTTGGGTAGAACAGCTTCCTGCAGAGTCAAAGTCAGTGCTAAAGGGCTGCATGCATTAAACAGCAAACCCCATAAGTTCGTCAGCAGTAAAAGCAAATGAATCTACCCACGTACCATTAAACATTCGGTTTTCTTCAGAAACTTTTCTTTTCTTAGATTTCTCCATGGTTGGTCTACCAGGGGAAAAA